CCGTTAGTAAGTATGATGAGTTTAGCATTGGGTCTCGGTTTATCGCTTAGGCCACTGTCATCGACGTATGCTGCTTCGGACGATTAATGCCGACTGTCTTGATGTGGTCATGTCGATCAAACCTGAATGTATTTTCATGACGGGAAATCACGTGAAAAGATCCTTTGTAAGGCTTTGACAAAATTTCGCGTACCGAATATACTCGTATGAAAACATGTGGACAGATAGATAACTCTCGAGGGAGAGTGACCTGTCGATGCAGTATACGAGTTGACAACGTAGGTAGTGTTCGCATGTATTAAGACAATCGCAGGACGTAGTTTAATTTACAAAAATTATTACTGCTCCGTGTTTTTAAACCTCCCACGGTATATGCAATATCGTACTGTATACAAATTCAGCGACGGAACATTGAATATCTTCTTTTAGGCTCGTTCTGATGCCTAAGAGGATGAGCTGTAAGGTTTCTAACCAGTTGTTGTTTTCGTGTGCTTGAAGAATACATTTGAATCGGCGAAGAAACCGTTCAACTTAACCGTTTGATGCTGGACGGCAGTGTGTATGCGTTCCGTATCAAGCAGCCGGGTCAGAGAGTAGAATAAATCGGACTTGAGTCTTTGTCCTCGGTCAGTTGCGACGGTCGAGAGGCAACCCTACAGAGCTATCCGTCGTTCTACGAAGCGGTGAGCAACTGTTTCCGCCTTAATAAAAGTGATGGGAATCGCTTCGGGCCATCTTGTTAAATGATTGATGCACGTGTGAATGTGATCATACCTGTGGGATGAAGGCAATAGTCCTACAAGATCTATTTGAGTGTGATCGAAGAGAGCATCAGGCGTAGCGAACGAGCTAATGGGGGCGGCTAATTGCCTGTGCACTTTTGATCGTTGATTCTGTAAGTATTGCTGTAGCCACATACGGATACCTTTATTCATGGATGGCCAGACTTATCGTACAGCGATAAGGTATAATTTGGCTGCGATATCTGCATGAGACAGTCTATGGAGAGCACCAAATACGAGATGACGATACGCAGAAGGCACGATGGGCTGGAGAAAACCAGTAGAATTTTCACATAGGATAGTACCGGAGCCAGTAGCTAGGGGCAGTTCCCGGCATTGAAGGGGTGTAGAAGCTTATGCTTCTGTATTGGAGGGACTGCTTGCTCGAACGGCAGTCATAGAGATCAAGCAATAGTAAAGTGACTGTATTCACTTGGATACCTGACAGAGCGTCAGTAACGTTGTTTGACTCGCCTTTTGATGTGACGAGGGCCTGTCGTGAACTGAGATATATAGTCCACTCTCGTGGTGAGTAGCAGTTAGACTTGCTATTCAGAGCATACTTTAGAGGCTTATGGTGTTCAGTATTTTGGTACTCTGTTTAGTCCCAATTCGGAATGATAATATTTTTATTTTGCTATAATTCCTATTTTCTGTACTTTTATTGGAGTTTATATGTTTCCTTCTAAACTGTTAGTGTGTTGTTCAAATTGATACGTAATATGGCTTCAGCCATATCGGATTTGATACCTCTGTGGTAACTTCGTATTCTTGACTAGAAGGACGCATTCTTCCAGAATTGGAAACTCATTGGATCGGAACAGTATATTATTGTTTCGAACCGTTCTTACCCAGAAACTTATGTTATGAAATCGAACTGGGTAAGGCGCGTTTCTGAATCCTATTGTTTCCGAAATCAAAATTCACAGAAGTGAATTTTCTGCATACAGGACAATTACTAGGTTAGATTCCTCCGTAAAATCAATATTAGAAGGACAGTTAGAGATCGTAATTAGGATACATTTGTTGGTGATCTCGCGGCATCGAATTAATACCGAGATCGTGCCAACCCGTACAGGCGAGACTACCGTGCGTACGTGCGCAATCTGAAGGTCACGGACAACGGAGGACTGGGGTTTTGTTACAGATAAACAAAATGGTACAGTTAAACAATCACGGGTAAATTGGTTATAATAATATATGTTTCTGTTACACCAATCTAGTTCTAGTTACAATAATAGATCACTACAAGTGGATACCGCTAGTTAGTTTTGAGACTTTTATTACCTCAGATATATTTTCATCATTGGTAGATTCATTTGTAGAGCTACTGGTTGTAAGTGGTTTTTCCTTGAATCTAACAGACGCTCTTCATCACGTTTTGTGTGATGTTTTCAAACATTTCAGATATATCCATGGGGTCATTCGAGACTGTCATCCTGCATGAGAAACTGGATATCTTTTGGCCTGTATATGGGCTTACTGGGAAAACATGTAAGTCTGTTAGATTTAGAGCCACTACAGAGAACTTCAGATTCGTCTTCGCTGTCATTCTGAATACCGAGTACCCTCATATACCTCTAAGTTTCAAATATCGAGCTTTAGGATGAAAAACTTTTAGATGTGTTAAATTGTGCATAAAGTGTTCCGATTCTGACACGGTATTTGTGTGTGAAGAAGGAAAAACGATTGTCTTGAACCTTGGGTGTTTTTGCAGGGGCTACAATACGCAGGTATGACGTTGTAGTCCCATAGAGGATAGCTATCGCAGTTGATAATAATATCCACCACAATCAGAGCATAGAAGTCGTTGCATTTCTTGTGGTCTTATTATTTCCGGTATGCGCACTGATAAGCATAACCATGTATTGGTTAAAGTTATATAGAAAATTGTCCACAACTATGTAAACACCAGGCCGACTATACATGTTTAGAATGCCTAGATCAGGTGGCAAACAATCTAGAATGATAAATCTGGTAGGTGGGCATTTACTAATTTCCTATGGTAGTGACGGGACTGGCCTGTCGTTCGTAGCACATCTGGTGATATGGTATTATCCGGTTTATTTGATTTGGGTAGTTAAGTTCTCTCTAGCCCTTAGGAGGTGCTAGTCGATGCTGTCCTCAAAACACGGGTTGTGATATTCCAAACGGCACATCCCAAAAAGGATTGTGCTGATGTATCAGAGGGCCCCTGAAAGGAACCTATGATAACGTTTTGTTCTCTAAGCTGGATGTTTTGGTTGTGGAGCTTTCATCGTTCCTCTGAACAACATCAACACAATCGCGAGGTATAAGTGAAGTATTCGAGTTTCTTTATGTACTGCTCGTAGTTGGTTCTGTTGTCCTCGATCTTCAGTGATTGTTGTTGACCTTGGACCTCTCGTTGTCTGCATCTTAATTTTGACTGTTTACCCCTTTGTTCTGTTTCTTGATCCCATGTTGGTCTAGGATTTTTCTGACTGTTTGGTAAACTGGGTCAATTTCTGTGTATTCACTGACTTCTGATTGACTTGAGCGCCAAACTTCGAAAATTTCTCTAGTGTTCTTTGAATTCTGTCTATACTGTATTCCAACACAGTTGTTCACATGTGTTGATATAAGGGAAGAAAGGTCATGGCGTTTGATTCCTAATCGATGTTCATGCAGGCAAAGCTGAAGAAGACGTTCACTTTGTCTGATGTATCATTTTTTGCAGTCTGAACAGTTTATTTTGTAGTTGGTAACTGGATTTTCTTCTTTTGTCATTTTGTCTTTCTGTTTATTCAGTATCTATTGAAGTAATCTCCTCGTAACCTCCTGTATGTCTTTTATATTTAGTAGGATGATCCCTTCGTTAGTTCCCGTTACTGATTTCCTTCAACTGATAGTTTGAGTTGATTTGTTTTAATGGAATCGTATGCATGGACAGGTTACGGAAAGGTAGTAATCAGACGCCTTTTCGTTTTTTCGTGCTTCATATGTGCTGCGGTGTTTTCTCTTTCTTGATCAAAGATTATTCTCAGTTTATCTTGTGAGTTCTTACTTTGCTGCCATTGTAGTTTAGAATAAGATCTGTGGGTTGGCTTACAGAATATTTGAGTTTCCAGTTTTTTTGCATCAGTTCTGATAATTAGTTCATCCAGTGAAGATAGTTTGTTGTTCGAATTATTAAACACTGTGAATTATACGTCGTTGAAGACGTTGGTCCTATTGTTTGTGTCCTCTAGCCCGTTCCTTTAAATGATGACGAATGTGTGGCCTACATAGCGAACCCATATTTTCGGCTTCATCACTGGTAAGATCAAGGCTTCTAGGCTCTGCATCATTGCTTTGAGCTAAGTCCTGATATTATTGATGACAAAACTGTTTCTTCCGTTTGTTCTTGGGTTCCGTTGATAAACTAAAGTTAGGTTGTTAAGTATTAGTAAATCGGTTTTAGTAGACTTTGGCTCTGAATTTTTGTCCGGAACCTGTGGGCTTCCTGAATATTTTACTGGAACCGTACCGAAAGAACAACAATCGAGCCCAAAGAAGTCAATTGGTTTATACTAGCTCTTGAAAAAGATATTGGATATTGGATAGTGCCTTTTTATTATGGTTTTCGTAGTACAGATATTTTCGTTGAAGCTCTCAAAAAGATCTGCAATTTTTTTAAAGACAATAGTATTTATCCTTAAAATAGCTATGGGTGTCTCAATAATATGTTGCCGTTTAGGTTAATTTGTTCCAGCTTTCCTGGTTATGTAGATTTCATTTGGCAACCCATACTTCTCTGTCTTTGACGAGAGATCCTATTATGCTGAATTGCAAATTTTGGGAACAACTGTTGTCTTTGATAGCGAAACTCTCCTGATTTGAAAAATCAGGTGTGATACAAGAGTGAATAGCTAACTCCCTCGTCACTAGAGACAGATGACGGTAAATCAGACACTATCTTTAAAAGTGATCCGAAATTTCACGAATGTTCTATGCCCTACAACGCTATTGTCCGCTTTAGCTTTATAGATGAGCACCCTAAATCCAGTCAATTGGCAGTTAGTAATGTAGGATTTTGAAGATATATTCGGAAGATATACGAAATATAAAGCAGCATATGGTCTTAGCTACTATTCGGCTGACTTATTCTGAACAATTCATTGAAAACTATTAAACACCTAGGACCGTGCCGAAAGGACAAGAATCGAGCGCAAAGAAATCAATTGGTTTATGTTAGCCCCCGAAAAATATTGGGTATCGGAAGAGAGTGGCGGCATGTGTGGATAATGCGTTACCGTCGGCCTGGTTCACAAGGGATTACTTCTGCCTTCCCTTATTAGGCGGGGTTGTTTTTTTTAAATTCACTTCTATCATTATAGCTGCAATTTTTAAACTAATAAGTGAGTTTCGACTTCTCACATTCTATATCTCAATACTTTCATAAAATATGGCAAGGGATAATTTAATTTAATAGCTTTTTCCAGGTAATGAAAGTACTAAAATCAATGGGACGCCTTCTAAAAGTTCTCTATCAGTCGTTGTTTTAATATATGTAACCTAGATGGACGAAAGTAGGAAATGAAGGCAAACTTTGGGGAAATATTTGTGGGGTATCATTGACATTGTCACTTTTCCCCTAGCCTGGTTTAAATAATACAAATTTTCACTCAAACTTTTCAAACTGAGCGGAAATGTCTAGGGATTAGCACTTTATGGTCGCGAAGTTCAGGGAGCTGGTGCTGGTTTGGAATATTTAAATCAGGTTATGTAGTCATTTTGTATGTGCTGAAACAAGTAGTCATAGTATGGTGTACGCTGCTTATATTCACATAAGTAGTATATGATATCAAATGGAAATCAAACTTCTGACAGCAAAAGATCGAGAAGGAAAGAATGAGAGTGGAAGGCGATTTGTAGGTAACGTAAAGTGAACTGAAGTCTGAACAGTCTAAATGAAAGAACTCTGAAATCTGAATCAAATAAGGATTAGTTTGCAAATGATGATTTCACGGGAAGGTTCTGTACATATGCCTAACAACTCTGTAATACTCGCTTAAATATAGATGTTAATGTCCTCACCTCAGTTTTCGTGCACAACAATAGTACTGTTCAAGGTGAAACTGCAATGCGTTTGTAAAATACTTAGTTTTAAAAAGTGTTTTTTATCGGTTCGGATGTGCTGACAGCAATAACGAATTATTTTTTGAAGTTTTCGAATAAGAAGTATGAAAAGAAAAAATAAGCTATAAAATTTTTCGGGTAGTATAATGGTTAAGATGCTATTTTCGCAATAAAACTCGGGTCTTACTCGGTGGATAGCCATGAATTTTTAACTTTATGGATCCAAAAGTATAACCTTTTCAAGGTTTCAGTAAATTTTTTAAAATCGAAGATCACTATTAGTTTATTGGGTAGTGAAAGCCTATGTCGTTTTCAAGGATAAAAATTCCAACATCTTATTTTTCCTTTGTGAATCCATAATATGATGTGATATCGTTTACACATTAAAAGTGGGCACTGACTGCGGTTCATGCATTTATTTTAATAAATCTCTCCAGTAGGGAATGAATAAAAAGGCTTATATCAGTCACTTACTGATAGCAGTTTAAGAGGTGCTGGCTGAAGGCCTAACATCCAAAATACCTTTTCCGTTGGTCTTGACAAATATCCTAATACGACTGAGAGTGGGGGGAGTCTGATCTCTCTCGAAATGCTCTCACATGGCCACTTGTATATAGTTACTGCCATCGAAGGACGTATCATAATACGGCTGAAAAGTGGTTAGTTCTAAATTATCCTTTTTGTGTAGAAAGGTTAGCACTATCATAATTTTAACGTTTATTCGATGAAGATAAGACGATTGTATTTTACGTACTTTATTTTTAGGTTGCTGATATTCCTTCTCTTAATTTACTCACTTATCTCAGTTTGTTATTAGTTGCGTCAGCGCACCAATAATCAGTATGACAGTTGTTCAAGGAGATAATTTAAGCGATTGTACACTGAAAGAAAAGCTGGACTTTTACTATCGTGTTGGTATGTAAAATTCTCTTTTTGGTCTTGTAATAATCACTTTAAATAATTTGGGCTCGTGGTATATTTAGTCTAGATGTACATTTATACCTATTAATTTGGTTCAACCCCACTTTATGTAGTTCACTTAAGGCAAGTAAATAGTGCCATTTGTTGTTACCTACATTTAGTCAGTAGGTTTTATAATTATTATCATACCGTTCCCGTTATAATGTGAAATTAGTAAACATTTACTTTCAGTATAGGCAAAATAAATTTTTGTATGTATTCAAGAACTGGATTGGAGTTTGTTTCCATTGTTTTCCCTTTGCGATTTAAAGAAAAATATCGATTGTTGTTATGAAGTAGGATTTAATGATTGTCTGAGTGAATTTTTGATTATTTGATTGAAATAGAACGTGTGAACTTACAAATGATATACTGTGATACTATGTAATTGAGTGATGGCTCCTTATGGGATCAAATTATTTACGTAGGGCCCCAAATAATTTTATAACCAAGATGAGACAACTAACTTAAATAATAGGTTTTTATTACGAAATAAAATGTGTATATGAGAGTTATTAACAGGAAAACAAGAAAATTAAATGTCATGAATGATTAAGTAATACCGAGTTTGTAAGTCGCTCACTATCTAATGAATCAAGTCCTACGTGTTAGACCTGATTATATCCGGTCATACCGTTTTTATCCTACAGGTTCTGATTTCGTAATTGTTACTTCGCATATCAGTGTGTATTTTATTTGATGCTTATACAAGCTCTTCACGTGAACTGTAAAACTTTTCTTTTGAATAAGCATTTCACTGTGATTGGCGCCAATTTTTTAATCAGGCGACAGTCATCTTTCATCAAGTACCTCAGATTTTGTAAATGAATTGAAATTTCCAATACAGTATGTTCTTTTCCAACGTATTGGATATGTGTGAACCTAAAGTTGTATTGGTTTTTTTTACCGATAAGTATGTTTAAGAATGCTTTTGTTGCGTTTGATTGCCTTTTAACCTCGATCATTTTTACTTCGGTGTTAAAATCAGTCTTTTACGGGAATATAGAAGCTAGAATCACTTATTTACCATGTACTAGTGACGAATACTGCTTGTAGCAGTTCCTATATCCATTCTTAACCTGTTTCCTTAGTCAAAATACTTTATACCTTCGTCCGAAAACAGTTCTGGCCTTCAATACGAGCATTTAGTATATGATTGGTACCTAGTTTTACTTCGCCCACTTCTCCCTTTTTCCTACACCAAACAACATCGTTTGTGGAGAAACATGGTGGTTGGGCATCCTTAGTTTGTGTCTCTCATTTCTCAGACTTCAAGGTTCACAATCTTACAAACCAAGACGCTATCTTTACCTAGCATCCTCGATTTAACCGTAACATTACCTGACCGTAGCTACTACCTTGACGTGGTGGTCGGGCTTGCCTATCGTGATGACCCAACCGAACAATATTGGCTGGAACTTATGTTCCTGGAGGTTCTACCATGCCAGGCAAGTCGATTGGAGAGCGATGAGACTAAAAGCAGCTACCCAAGGTCTGAGGGCGAAGTCGTACTGCTGACTGCAGAGGGTTGTGACAGCAGTAAGGTGTTTCCCTCGGACAACCAGCATCTGCAGACATGTTGCCTTCTCACAAGGAAGGAAGGGTTAGAAAAGGTCGACTCTAAAAGTGTTACACCTCACCCTATCTTACGGATTTCCGTCTCCGTCGGTAAGGGTGCCCACTAAGGGCCTTTAAGAGCGGAGGTAATACTCAAAAATCCTTTCATAAAAAGGCCGTGAGTGACCGGCCTCAAGCAGTTGTCCCTTGGGCTCTGCGGTCACGCTCCCAGGTCTCTAAGACCAAAACTAATCTACCTTCCTTTTCAGGTCCCTCAAGAAACAACCTTACATGGTGTGGGCAGCCGGGAAGTGACAACCGCCCTCATGCCCGTAACAGCACGAGAGACCAAATTGGTCGTAATCAAATCCTTCCTACACCCAAACATACCTCTCTTCTCTTCACAACTAACTCTACTCACATTCCCTTATCTGACTGCACCGCTAATGCAAACGATGCGAGTTCACGAAACGTCATTCCTGGTCTCCTGAAACCCCGTTCTAGACTATATGTTGGAGCTTTTATTGTACGGACATTGTGTCAAATAAGGCAACAGGCATCATTAGCTAGGACTTTAGAATCTCGTGCCATCGATGTATGCTGCGTCTCGGAAACGCGCATACGGGATCCTAGTAAAATTATTAATCTGATTTCATCTTGTGAGCTGTCCGACTAAACGGGACAGTAAAGACTAGGAAGGATAGGGACACTCGTCGTTGCCTCTTCGTCGCATCTGCCTATGTCCCCACTGACTGCAGTTCAGACGAGGTGGAAGATGGGTTTTACAGAAAGCTTTCGGACCTCTTCCAAAAAGCTAGGCGCTCTGATGTAGTAATGATGGCTGGTGACTTTAATGCTCAAGTAGGTAGACTAAGTGCAAAGGAAAGACACCTAGGTGGATGTTATGGTGTCGCTGCTCAGAGAACAGACACTGGTGACCGTCTGTTGCAAATATGCTCAGGTAACCGCCTATTCTTAGCAAACACTAACTTTAGGCATAAGGAAAAGCATCCGCTGACCTGGCGACCTCCGAAGTCGTCTCAAAGTTGGACGCAACTAGATCACATTGCCATCAGCCACCGATGGAGGGGTTCGATATAGGACTGTCGCTCGTTCTGGGGCACATGTTTAGATTCAGATCATGCCCTAGTGCGAGCGCGTATTTGTTTGAGGCTTACTAGGCGTAGGAAAGACACTGTAAGAAAGCATCTTAGGGTTTTACCTCATGATAATAAAGCTAAGAATATATTGCAGGAGCAACTAGAAAGAGATGCAACTATGTAAGCGATTCCAATCCGGAGGCAGCTTGGAATGGTATCAAAAAGATTGTGGAAACAGCAGTGATATCTGCTAGCAAGGTAAACCATAAGGCTAGGATGAAGCCATGGATCTCTGTAGCACCCACCGAACTGATGGATGCTCGAAAACGCATCCCACCTGACTCTGAACATGATGAAGAGCGTAGTCAGCTTAGGCGCAGACTGATAATAAGCCTACGTAACGACCGTGAACAGTGGCGGGTAGCGAAAGCAAAAGCGATGGAAAAGGCAGCGGCGATAGGCAACAGTAGACAACTTTTCCGACTTATCAAGGAAACTGGCATTAGGAATCCTAGCTTAAGTGAGGCTCTCTGGTAAAAAGGATGGGACTATTATTTATTCTCAATCCAGGAGACTGGATCGATGGGCAGAACACTTTGGGGATCAGTTCAACTGGCCTTCAGCCACTCTTCGGTTACCCACGATCTGAATGGCAAATCGACGTAAGTCCCCCGACTCTCTATAAGTTGAAAAAGCGTTAGTAAATCTGAAGCGAGGACGAGCTGCAGGTCCTGATAGACTGATCCCTGAGATATTTAAGGATGGTGGTCCAGTTTTAGCAGCTAGGTTGATTGAGATCTTAGATAGAATCTGGGAACTGGACGTAATCCCATCTGACTGGTCTCAATCACTGATTGTCCCAATCTATAAGAAAGGACAGAAGTCTTCTTGTGACAATCACAGGATAATCAGTCTAACTAAAATAGTTTCTAAAATTTTGGCCTCAATAATACTTCGGCGCTTAACGAAAGCCCGTGAAGAGCAGACTAGAGAAAATCAGTCTGGTTTTCGACCTGGACGTGGTTGTATAGACCACATTTTCACACTACGACAGGTCCTGGAAAACAAACACACATTTAGGCGTCCTACAATAGTTGCTTTCCTGGACCTAAAAGCGGCATTTGACTTTGTGGATTGTGAGGTTCTGTGGCAGCGTCTGTCATTGAAAGGTGTACCAAAGAACTACATTAACCTTATACAAGCTCTCTACTCGAACGCGACTGGTCGAGTGAGGTCTTATGGCGAACTGTCATCTGAATTCTCTACATCAAGTGGTGTCCGTCAGGGATGTCCACTCTCTCCATTCTTGTTCAATTTCGTCACAGACATGCTCCTAGATATAACTTTATCCTCGTCTGAATTTTCAGGAGTAGACCTTTTACTTGGTGGCTCGCTTATTGACTTAGAATATGCCGATGACATAGTCCTACTTGGTGAAGATGCTGACAAAATGCAGAGTCTTCTGACTGCCCTAAGCAACAATGCAAGCATGTTCGGGATGCGGTTCTCACCCTCGAAATGCAAAATGTTGCTTCAAGATTGGGTTACATCGGCACCTGAACTAGTGATAGGGAGTGAAGTAGTCGAACGTGTAGACCGCTTCACTTATCTCGGGAGTCGAGATATCCGTTTGTTTACTAAAGGACGAGTGTACTGCACAGCAGTTCGCTCCGTCTTACTTTATGGATGTGAAACATGGCCAGTGAGAGCAGAAGATATTCGTAGGTTACTCGTTTTCGATCATCGATGTTTCCGAAGCATTGCTCGCATATCCTGGGACACCCGAGTGAGCAACGTTGTTATTAGGAAAGGGGTGCTAGGTAAGAATGGCAGATCAATGGATGAGATATTGAAACTTCATCAGTTGAGGTGGTTGGGACACGTGTTGCGTATGCCCAACCGCCGACTGCCTCGACGAGCTTTGTTTTGTAGTGTAGGAATAGGTTGGAAGAAAGTTAGTGGCGGCCAAACCAAAACATGTCAGAAATCCATGAAGTCATTGACGAGTGGACTTAGCCATGTCGGTAATTGTCGACTACCTCGTTGGGGTCCGCGAGAGGTCAGTAATCGATGGTTAGAGACCTTGAATGACATGACTCAAAATCGTTCGGAATGGCGCCCGTGCATTTATTCTTTGTGTTCTCTCAAATCCTAATCTTCCGGATTCTTTAACCCCTCTACTTTTGACTTTCTAAACTTTTCTCACTGAATCATACTTCTTGAATAATATCTTCTAAACCTAACCTCTCCGATTACTTCTAATACCTTTACAACCTCTTCTACTATTGGGTTTGAATTGACAATTATATCTGTGTGCTGATGTGGTATGGCAACATGAACTGATGTGCTTACGTACGAAGTTCTACGTTTCATCTGACTGACTGACTGACTGAACCGTAACATTATCCATTCAGTGGTTTTGACATACTTGAGTAATGTTTCAAGGGCACGTACTGTCAAATAGTGGTAACCCTGCAAACTGTCTCTACTTTTGAAGGACATATTTACGGTTATAAATTAAAACATAGTAAACCCTTACGTAATATACTTGTCTTCTGGTTGGGAGTGGACACAAGTGACTGAAGTTGGTGAAAGTCAGTCAAGATTTCTATATTTTTCGACAAAAGTAACTTTAGAAATCCGATTATATTCCCTTAGTCTCTGCCTTTATCAGGTTTCCGCTGATGTTTAACGAAGTGTTAGCTTATTCCTACATGTTTGATTTTCTGTATGAATCACTTTAAAAAATTGGATTTCGTCCATCATCTACTGAGAAAGTTATCAGACAATAATTTTAGGGTCTTGTAATTCCGTGGTGGTTAAAAGTTGGTGTTTATTAGAATTATCTTTATTAAACTTTTTATTTACTGGTGAAGTACTAAACGCTAGTTGTCAGTACAGAGAATCAGGACCATTGAAGTTATTCCGTTATCAGTAAACTGTCAGAATTGGCATCGGCCTTATGGATAGTTTCTTTCACTTTACTGTTTTTTTTATCTCCTCTATTGAGGGTATTTCAGCTTTCTGATTGATGGTAAGTTGAGGAGTTTGAATCAATCACTGGGTATTCGTATTATCAAGTACATAGTGCATCAAACATCAACGTTATCAATCTGTATTGGTTGATAATCTTTTTGATAGATAAATTCCAATCAGTATATCAAGTTTCGTAACAACTGAGTCATCTTATGATTGCATTCTAATGCACATTGCACATTCCTTGATTTTTTCCAATATTTTCATAGTTCGTTTTAGTCTGAAGTGTAACCAACCAGATTATAACACTTTCTTCAATGCTTTCTTTTAGCTTGTTAATGTCCAAGTAAGGACAAATATAAGTGATCTTCGCATTGTTTTTAAGATCAGACTAAAGAAAAAATGGAAATAAATGGTTCCCCTGTCTTATCTCGCAGATAATGTTTCAGCTATATTCAATTGGTCGAGAAAATTTGTTGTTCAGGTGGATGATTGTGGTGAAGTTTCGTTCTCTGAGCTGGATGCTTTGTTTGTGGAGCTCTCACTATTCTTCTTTCTGAACAACATCATCAGCCCAAACTTCAGATAAAAGTGAAGTATTCGAAATTTGAATACTTCACTTCTGTCTGATGAAAAACAACGAAAGCCCCACAACCAAAACATCCACCTCAAAGAACGAGACTTTATCGATATATTATCTGAGGTTGAAATATGTTTTGCGTTATCAGGTATTTTAACAAAACCAGCTTATCGTTAGTTTGTAATATATTCTGTGTGTTGCAGAATTTCATAAGTTGTGAAAAGTCAGCCGATTTAATTTTCACGTTTGTGACACACCGATAATTCATGGAGTCTTTTAAACAGTTTAAATTCACTCATTTCTTACTTTTCCTGTTACTACATCTTTTATTCATAAAATTTCTACAGTTTGTTCAGTCTTATGGGTTTAAATATTTCTCGGTCGTTAACTTTTAACTTCAGGGTATAAAGCACGTTTTTTGAAAAAAAACTAGAATGAAAATAGCGAAGTTTCTACTTTTTGTACAATGTTTGGTGTTAATTTTAACCGTAAATTTATTGATTACTTCTTGTTGCTTCTGTTATTGCTAGTTAAAAATCAAATTCTTCGCTTCCAGCATCCTGTCAGTGGATTGTTTCCTCTTATGCCTATGAACACTAATTGTAGATACAGTCATGTACGAGATTCTGTATACTGTGCCACAGTTGTATGGGCTCTGCATCAGTCTTTTGCGTGAGTGGATTTTTAACCGTGTCTGCTTAAAAAATCTCGCAAAAGAATACTTTGTTTTTAAATAAAACTTTTAATTCAATACATTATGAAATACTGGATTGTTTATACATAGGTCTCTTGGAATTTAAACATATGTCCTGTTTTCGTAAAACAACGCTGCCAGATTTACTATCAATATTCGGTATTTGATCGATAATATATTAAAAATTTAGTGATACTGCGGAAAATTACATTAGTGTTCGAGCATCAATCACACTTGTTTTGTAATTCTTCTATCATCTTAACGTTAGTTAAATCCAGTGGAATTGCTTCCCTTGTTCGTGAACGAAACACCATTATTTTATACACAGTAAAGTTCAGCTTCAGAATATGGTTTAAATCGAATGAATAGCGTAGGATGTAGTAAATTTATTATATTTTTAAATTTGCAGTCATTCTACTTCTAAATGTTTATTTTATGAATATAAACCTTCCACTTTGCAAATAATTTCATATCTGATTTATTTCATAATGATGAATCACTTGGTTATGCCTTTTGGAATGGTCATTACTTTCACTCATTTCGGAAGGTGTTTTTTTTACAATTTGAACTAATTCTAAAATGTATTACGGTTTTATAAGACATAATTGATTATTCCATCATAGTTCCTTCAGCCATTTCAAAAAATGAACCGATTCTCCAATCTCATGAATGTTTATAGAGTAGACCTTTTAATTTCTGAATTCTTGATTTATACTTTAATGCATTACCGATAATTTCACTATATATTTAATAAATTACTTTATCATAGGAGAGTTAATGATGATGAAGGACGTTATTATGAACTTGGTCAAAGTGCTGTGAAATGTATGCGTACTATTTTAATGGGTTGGATGCAGCAATCTGCACGGGTATGCATTATTACTATTATTGTTACTATTATTATTACCCATATTATCATTATAAACAGACATAAGTCGTGGCTAGCAAAGAAATCTGGGACTCACGTTATCAGTAACTAAGTGAATAGTGCGATGGCGTTTGAAGCGAACAGTACTGGGTTCGAGTTTTGGAGTAAACATCAACTCTGGGATGCAGGTACATCCAGTTGACGAGTCATAAACAGGATGGAACGCGCGTCATCGATTCCACTGCTAACCATCATCTGTCTCTGCTTGTAACGCTTGTGACCCAATTACTATATTGAGGCAATTCGCACAGGTTGGACATGAATGGGAAGATTCAAACTACCAGTACAAATGAACTATACTATCACTATTTGATGGAATTTATTTTATTTTCAACATTCGTTTTTTCCTTTTTTAATACTTTTATATTGGGTGTGATTTATTTGGAAAGAAGTAATAATACGCTGATATCTTAACATGAGGAAGATAATTCAATTATTATGTGAAATCTTCTTATAAATAATAAAATAGGTAATCAAATAATATCACTAATTTATTTATCAAATGGGGACGCAAACAAGTCACTTTCTCATAATCAACACAGAACTCGCCATTAATGTTCGCTAACCCAAGTTGTTTTAGCACTTATATGTGACAAGATGAAATTAACCGTGAACGGGTCAGTAATTCAAAATGATGTAATGGCAGTTATAATGAGAATGACTAGACATTGAGAATATTATTCGAGATAAAGGAATAAACAAGTATCTGAGAATAAATACTGGGACTCAGTATCTAGTGTAAGATAAGTGAAGAATACATCTGCACCATTGTAACTGACTCTGACCGTTGTCAGCCAACATTTTCAATTCACACAAATTGTTCTAACTAAAAGGTAGGTAGTCTGAAAGTTTTGTTGCATTATTTTTCGATTAATTGAAAATATAAAAAGATTCTTTATATGTAGAGTTTATAAATGAGATTATCAAGTGATTTAATTTTAACAGAGTTATTGAAATAGCTTGTCTTTATTTTGATTATAATCCAAACTTTCAACTTTTTACAAATGTAATAGCTCTGAAATATACTGTTATTTAATTTGCTGTTTGCAGTTGGAATACTTTAAAAGAGTTCAAAACTTGGATACTTGTCTTCACTCACGTCTTGATTATGAAACTGGTGAACCTATTTACGATGATAATTACAAAAACTTACAAATGGATTGTATTGGTCTGTATGTAATTCAGCTGGCTCAAATGATTCATTCTGGACTTGAGGTTTGTTGTTTTTGACAAAATACGTAGTCATTATAGCCGAACCATTAGGTAGGATTATTCAGTGAAATGAGAACCTTATGTAGGTGTGGTGTCACTATGCCTTCCTTTTATTCATTGGGATTAAAATAGTAATTCTTAACTAACAACCAACTGGTTATGCGAATAGCGGGTGAATGAATGTACGCGATAACTAACACTTTTCTAGTGCATCACCGATATTTTCCATTCAACATTTTTTTTTATCGAAAAAAAGCTGATAGGGTTTTCCAGTTTCTTTGTTCATTTGTTGCGTTGCTTGAATACCCTACACCAATTAACTGATTTTGATTAAAAAATTTATTCTCTAAAAGTGTAAACCTGAATCTCCAAAATATGGTTTACAGTAGTGGTGATTTTTGATGATGTCTTGCTATGGGGAGCGTACAAGAAGTGATATTTGTCTAGCAAACAACTTGTCAAACTTTTTAACATATACCAATGAATTTAAACATGCATATTTATTACACTATATACTGGACCTAAATTCTGTTAAAGAATTATATGTTATACATTCCTTTTAGATTGTTTACACAAAAGACGAAGTAGCATTTGTACAGAATCTTGTATTCTATTTGGAAAGAGCCTACCGTATCCCAGATTATGGAATGTGGGAACGTGGAACAAAACAAAATCGTAATATGACTGAATTACATGCAAGGTAAGTGGTTATATATTTATATATATCTTTGAAGTGAAGTATTTCAATGTCTTTAAAACTGATGGGAAAACGTTGCATTAGCTAACTTCTTTGGCGACTTGAAGTGGTGGATTGTTTTACATAATGTTTTACCTCTCAATCTGTCCACAAAAGGCCATTAAGAATAAAACTTGTGAATTCATTTAAAGAAATCCTTGTGAGTGTAATATTTTAGTGTAATGACTTAGAGCCCTTGTCCTCACGAATTCAGTCAGAATATTCATATTCCTACACATATATCAAAACAGTAATTTGTGTTATATTAGATTAAAATATGTTAGTCTAACCTTCCTGATACACTTGTCCTTTTTCCAACCAGAACTGCCCTCTGACGTACAGAATGGTTAGACACATGTTACATTTACTTCATCCATATTAGTCGATCCAAATTTACAGTGAGATCAGCTGAATCATTATCTATGCTGGAAACTATACCCAACTTCTTTTCTTACTCTTAATGAGTGACTGGGAAGATTTGACGATAGTATCAGTAATTATTTTATTTCCTTCAACTACATTGTTTGTACTTACAACTTGTGTATAGGGAAAAACGAATTGTAATATTGATACATTTCTCATGTAGTTTAAATCACTTATGATAGTAAATACGAATCAAGCCTTCTTAAAAAGGTTCTTTTGATCGCCACTGTGCTAGAGTGAATAAAAATCCCATGTAAATGTCCATAGGTTGGTTTTAAATAATCATTTTCTGATTGAATGTCTATATCATAAATTTTCTGATTTTGGTTGACTTTTTTCAAGCGACTAGCTTGTTAGTATTTCCGTTCAACAGCGACCTATCCCACGTTATAATCTGTAAATGGATAACAAACTATGTTTGACAAATAAGTTGTAGTGAAGTATACTGAATTATGCATAATGTTACCCATGAAACGCATTTTGATGTAATGTTTATTTTACAAATAGCATTTTTGTTTAGGATTAATGTTGTTGGTTTTTTCCAGCTATATATTATTTGTTTCTTGTAGATAAAGTTTGATTGATTATATGATACCTCTTAAATAAAATACACTAATTTTTGTTTTGAAATTGTTTTCATCCTATTTTCTAATTAGCTCCATCTGTATGGCAAAAGCTGCATTGGAATCAGTTGCTGGATTCAATATTTATGGTTATGAAGGTGGCCATTCTTCTGTCCTTTTTATGGATGCTGACGCCCATAGTCGTAATAGGATAATTATGACAAATTTGTTACCTAGAGAATCTGCATCAAAGGTAAATTATGCTCTTGTTTGCTTGTGTAAGTTTCTAACCAACCTGTTATTTATCAAACTGTACTACACTGAATGAAGGATGTTTGGATTTCAGTAAGAGGGAAAACAGAACTTGTATTTTCTCGAGATCTCAGGTACACTCTTCTGTTAAGTATTGGTAGCTATAAAAATCAACTATTGGTGTTTTGCTTCATAATACAAAGCTGTCCGATGCCCTAACTAACTCAAGAAAAACGAAACAGGCGGTATCAGATCAAGATATGGGCATACACTGTTCCATACATTTGTTGCTGTGGTTCGATTGGCTGATGAAATACTGGACTGTTTGATGTAGGCAAACTAACAATTTCACTACTCGTCGATTTCTGTAGATAAGCTGCATTGTCATGACAGGATAAAACCACTAATCAGCTAGTTGAATATAAATTAGCGAAATAGAAGTGATATGTATATGCCAAACATACAGACAAAATGGTTTGACTGTTACTTATCAGATAAATGATTTATCAATGGTGAAAATAAATATCACTGAAGAATCGGTTATACTTTACTTTTATCCCCCACATCAATTTATTGTCATTCTGTTTTGTAACTGTTGCGTTTCGATGTTGTAGGGTACTGATGCTTCACTTATTCCTGCATTATGTTGGCCTGCCTATGGTTCGTGTTCAACCAGTACACGTCTTCCGGCTCTAGAGCGCTGTTTGGAACGTTTAAAAGGTGCTTATGGCTTCAAACGATTTACTCGAGATGGTTATGCTACTGTTTTAGACACAAATAATGAATATCAACCGGGAGAATTAATGGTATATTGTATTTAGTTATACCTTAGTCTTTTTGACAATCTCATTTTCTGGGGTCGCACACTTGTATCTATAGGTAATCTTTTGTGTAGTAGTCTGTAGTAAAATAGAGAAGTCTTACAAAATAATTAATGGTAGTCAAACTTATTCAGGTGGAAGACAGTGAAAATGAAGTGGTGTTGCATAATATGGTCAAGATTATTAAACGGTTTCAAGTATTAAGTATAGTGGTGTTAACAATTTGTAAATGGAAAGGTATTATTTTAGTGTCAAATAGCAGTTGCGTAATAATCGAAGAGTCAGAATAATAGCGGGAGGAAGTCAGATATATGAGAGATAACGCTAGGGTCATAATAACGGTTGAATAATAATCATGAAAATTGATAGGGATAACAATATAACATAAAAATCAAAAACATATTAGAGAAGGGGATTAGAGCCAGGGAAGGATAAGAGGTTAGATATATTGTGTCTGCACTCAGAGTTCGGGCTTGAATCGATGAATTACCGAAGCTTTAGCAGTGCATAGGTTTTTGGTCCGAACTTCATTCAGTCCAGTTCTTCTAACTGCATATATTACTTTCAATGACAACTTAGGAGCAACATGTTTAGAATTGATCAAATGCTCTTGTATTGAGCTTGTGAATTACTCTAAAATTTCATCGACGTTTATATCTTCATAAATAATTAAAGTGTCTTCTATGTATTTCTCATATAAATGTAGTCTCTCAATTATTGGTTGAAGTACCGTATTTACTAGATTAGCCATAAAGTAATCAGCCAAGAGTAGGCTAGGTGGAGAACTCATTACTATTCCATCAGTTTGTCGATGGAGATCATTATTAAATGTGAACTGTCCACTGAGAGTACATTGAAGTAGTAGTTCTTCTAAATAATGTTTTAGTATACAAATATTAAAGTTGTTACTTTCAATATAGTCACATAAAAAACATATAGTTTCCGTGAGTGGAACATTAGTAAAGAATGAAGTGACACCTAATGAGATAATTTTTTTACCATTTAAATTGATGTTTATAACTGAATCGACAAAATCGAATGAATTAAGGCAGTTGTAACTACTGATGTGATTTCTGAAAGTCGAAGTGTGTAGAGCGTATAAAGCAATGGATTTCGACTCACTGATACAATTGTATCGTGCTCACTTGAGCTCTTAGTTAATTCATAAGGTCGTCGGTCGGAAGGGCTTAAGAGTTTTGTACTAGGACAAAACGGTGTCTTTTAGCGCTCTAACATTTCCAATGATGCTATGTTTTGGTTTTAGGTGGTTGAAGATAGTTAACAGGAAATTCTAGGTCTTGGCTTCGCGCTTTATCAAATTTACTTCTGTAAATCAATGAATTTTTAAAAATCATTTTACATTACTGAATTACTTCTTGTTATTTGTTTGTAGAAATTTGTTGGAATCGAAAGTGAATGGCCAATGTTTTTTGCTTATTTGGTTATCGAAAGTAAGTTCACTGTTAGTCATTTCACTTTTAACTAGATCATTAAATTGTACTATTTGTAATTTAGATGAAGTGCAAAGTATTCTTGAAATTTATCTCCTGATATCCACTGATTGTTTACAACTTTCACTTTTTCTTTACTTTCTACAACTTAATAATATGAGTACAAATCTTCATGATCACTTTTCACCATACTTTTGTATGTGAAGGTTAATGATACTATTCTACTTCTCAAAACTGATATAAATGGGGCTTGTAACCCAATAGTTGAAGTTATGCTGTTTTTAAACCCCCCCTCTACAGTTCCACAGTCTGTATACATTTAAAACTAATTTTATAAACTATGTTTGCGGATTTTCTTATATCTTCCAAAAGCTACTTATATTTCAGAATAAGACTTTGAAACTCATGATTATATATACACGATTATTTGACGGTTATATTACTCATTCAGTTATCTAAATACATTTCAGCATTGTAAGGTTTACTCAAATAATTGAACAATTAATCGTTTCATTATTTCGATTTAACTTATCAATCATGTATGCCATAATCAAATACGTAGAGGATGTATCATTTTTTTCAAATAAATCTATACCAGTGTTCATAATTCAACTTATAATACTTTGTGAATAATTTATTTGAAATTTGTTTGTTAGTATAGACTTGAATATATATATTTTCTTTATGGTTTAATTACAAAGTCAGTCAACTACAACGTAGAATTTCGCACGTACGTGCATCAGTTCAAGTTGCCATACTACATTAGCACACGACAATCGAATTGTCAATTCAAATCCTGTGGTAGTAGAGGTAGGAGAAGTAATCAAAAAGATTAATGACTGAAGAAATTAATAGCTGCAACTGTTAAAATTCATAGTGTTACAAGAGTCTAGTCAAGAAAAAAAACAACTACGTTAGCAGTCACATCTCACAGTTACTTTGTAATGTTCCAATTTCATTTCATCTCAGTCATATTGCTGTTATGTTTTAAGTGTTGCAAAAAAGTAGTAGTAGTTGGTGAGCATCAATTTTATACTTCATTATGATTGATTGATGCATTCATAATACACTATGAAAAATTATTCATCATCTTATTACTATAAAATTATCAATAGTAATTTACCTGGATGTTTACATTGTCAATAACTTTCAATTACATTATTTATGATTTATGCTGTTAACCTTCTCTTCTTTTTTCCTATTTGGTTATCATCAAAATTATTGAATTTTTTTAATTGTACACTTTTAAAAACAATTCTAATTAGATTGTTTAAATGGTGATCGAGAGAAAGCAGTAGAATATGATCAATTAATGCAATCACTTCTTGTACATCCAATTTCAGAATCATGTAAGTAGTTAGTTTAGTTATTTTAATTTTAAATAAAATAGGAAAATGTTAAAAACATAATTTTTGTCAAATTATAATATGAATAAAAATTAAAACCTATTCACAATGAAATGTGTTGTAATTTCTTGATTAATTTAATACAAATATTTGATATCACTGATATAATTAATGAAGTGTGCATTCAACTTACAATAGAAATGTTTTTATAATGAGACAGAACCATTTTACAACTGACAAATCAATCATGTACAAATAAAAAGTGAAAATCATTTGATTTATGAGTAAACTGTCAATGATAATCAGTAGAAATGTGTTTTGATGTATAGTTTTATTATTTGACTATTGTGTATTTTTGAAATAAATTGAAGTTATCGGAACATAACAAGTTGACGATAAGTTATCCATAATGTGCGTATTTAACTAGTTACATGAACTGTAATCACAAGGTGCTATGTTTACACGTTTGTTCACCAAATCTAATAAATGTCATGCTTAATCGCTTGATAGTTTGTTAACACTATATCAATATGTACAAAGTTTGTTTCGGTTTTATTTTAAGGACTGAAAGCAGCAAGCTTACACTTTTTCGTCACAGTCGAATCAGATGATATCTTCAACTTCAGTAGGGTCACGTCATTCTTAAGTTATATATTATAAACTCTTACATTTCTATTCGCTTATTCTTTCTTAATCCTAAATGAAAATGATCCTAATATAACATTTTATTATACTTGCATAACTTCACTATGCTGATTAAAACTTATCTTCTTACAGTGGTAGGAAAAGTTTCTTTCTATTTAAAATTTCAAAAACACTATGCATAATTATATGTAGCCATGTAACTTTATTGATGACACATTTTGTAATTACATAGGTAACAGTCTGCATGGAAGTCACTGATTATTGTAGTACAATCATTATGAATTGATAAATATTGAGTTTAAAGATGAAATTGTTGGTAACAGTTGTCTACTGAAGTAGCTCTTGTTGATACTTCAAATAATTTAATATATATAAATTTATTTTAAGATTTCTATTTTTATTGACATAGATCCTTGGCTTCCGAAATTTTACTTTGTTCCTATTGAAGAACTGGAAAAAGAACGCCGTTGCCGTGGTTCTGCAATACGTAAAAGCAGTTTTCGTTTAGTCGGTGAATCTCGTTTTCTTTGGGGACAATCAGTATACATTATATCACAATTACTTTGTAAGTTCAGGTTTTCTCTCCTAAAGTATTTACAAGTGACTACAAGAATTATGCTATGAAGTTTAATTGTTGTATTTTCGATGTTAAGTGATTCTTAATGATGGGGATAAGTGAATCGATAGATTTTCTCTCGTAACTAATATTTAATCTTAGTCAAGTGGATTACAGTAAACAGAACCGTACTAGCCAACTAACTAATCATATCTGGATATATATTGGAAAATCTAAATTTTTCATTTATTCACATAGAGTATTGTTTGTTTATTCATTCAATAGTAACAAATATATAGCCAATAGTGGAAATGAGGGTTATAAAACAGCTGATGACAATGTGTTCATCGTAGCACTTAAATATCATATCAAGTTGGTGACTTATTAGTTACAGAGTTTGTAGAACTGCCTTTTACTCCTTCGGAATTCGATTAGGCTTTGATTAGTTTGGTAAAAAATGTTACGGAAGCGTTCTTCCCTTATCTTCTGTTCTAAATCTTATTTTAAACGGGGAAATACATATAAATGTGAATTCGATCGCCGTGGTGTGTGCTACTTATACGAACGATATAAGTAGTATAAGAAGGGACGTGAAAGAAGAAGTCTCACGGTCAGAAGAGGAAAACGGAAAGCAAATGGAGCAAAAGCAAGAAGTAAATGGAGTACCGACAGGAAGTAAAGGAAGCAACAGCAGGAATGGAAGAAGGCTGGAGCGTTGGAAGTCAGGACTCAAAAATGGTGTGCAAATAGAGTGTTCAATGTAATGTTTTCGTTTTTAATTGACTAAGAGTGTAAATACAATCTATCGAGCCTGCCTCAGTCTTCTCAATACTATGTCCAAGTAAACATGTTAAAATCTTAGAGTTCAGAATAAAACTTAATGAAGACATATATCACAGAGCTACTTCATCGTGAGGAAAGTTAGTGTTATAATTCTCCCTTTATTACAACCGAGCTATTCCTAATGCTTAGTATTCTCGGACACCAGTTCACTCGAGACGTTCTTCCAAATCAGAACACGGTTGAACAGGAAATAGAATTTATTCCAGTAACAAGGTTAAAATGTAGACAGAAGTTCCATAGGAAAAAGACGCTAGTATATTTATAGTTTTCTTACATGAGAATATTCTAGAATGTTCCCTCAGTATCGGCTAGCGCTGATTGGATACGAAAGAACCAATCATTATCATTCAATAGATTATATTGTTTATTTAAATTGTTTGTTTTTTCTCCATTTTCTTATTTTATTTCGAAACAAGTTACAATATCTTCCCGATAAATCTGTTTTTTATTCATAGTGTCTGGATGTCTCTTGCCAAGTGATTTAGATCCAATCGGTCGAAGACCATCACATCGTTTCTCTGGCATGTCGTCTACTTTAGGGAATGAACTCCTATTTTCTGTAAGTTTTTGATCTATTTTCTTTAAAACTTTTCTATTTGCGTGTTTGCAGTATGTTTATATAATCAGTAAACTGCATTACGTACAAATACATGGAATCATTGTAAATTTGAAATTAATTATGATCTTTTGTTTTGCGGTTTACTCTTCAAAATTGATCGAAACAACTACACATAATTTCTTGTTTTTCCTGAAAAGTTAGTGTAAATCAAACGAAAACAATTTTCCAAAGGTCAGCGTTAAGTTACTGGCCGGTTATTCAGCTAATAATATACAATATTGTAAATTACTATATTTGTTCAGATAACGGGTAAGCATAGAAATCAAATATAATTTAACTGGGAGCCTGAAACCCTTCTAAGGTTACTATCGGTTCAAAGCCCTGACAAAGACGAAGGGTTGGGGTTAGCAACTTGATTCCGCAGAAAACAAACTTGCAAAAAAACGCTAACCAGAAAAATAACCTAAGCCATTTAAATTATGCCCCAGGAGTTGGAAGGTCTTCATTCAGAAAAGTTATGATGCATCACAGTGAGGGCCCATTTTCTTCGGAAGCCACGAGGTCGACACCTCTTCTGGCAGCCAGGGCAACAATTAATATAGGTTTATAGAATACTCGCACAATATGGGAGATCAGGAGATGGTGCTTGGAATAAGTCAAACCCATTGGATGTAGGCTGGACAAAAATGGTCAGTTTCAGGAGAGGTGCTGTTGTACTCCGGTCATAAAGAAGAAAGTGCCTCACAAACAAGGAGTTACACTAATATTATCCAACGAAACACAAAAAGCGCTTATAGGATGGAAATCTCATGAACCCAGGATCATCAAAGCGTTTTTCAAAAGAAAGAAAGGGGATTACAGTGATTGTCATTCAGTGCTATGCGCCCACCAACGGTAACAATGAAGACGGTGGAGACCAATCTTGTCAGGGACTATAGAGTCAATCGTAGAGAAATGTTCAGCAAAAGGTTTGACCATTTTAATGATAGACGTAAACGCTGAGGTTGGGATGAACAACACCGGATATGAAGAAATCAAGAGACAGACCAAAGAACATACTGCGCTGGGAATCGGAGGCGTACATCAAAAGAATGAATAACAATACATTACGGGTAACATGCGTAATTGAGTAACTGGACTTTCAAATGAATGGATTGGAGGCTCGAATCCCCCTTCATCTACCTTAAATTTAGCCCTTGGTTAATTTCTGTGCTAAAATTCATACAATCAATTTACATTAATCTGTACCTGTTCGATGTGTTATATTAATATGGAATTTAATCATTAACTTACGTTGGGTAAATTGAGTAGTGATTTTTCATAATTTCTCGACAATGTGTGGTTTAAATTTTTTTCAAAAAACTGTCTTCTAGACTAATATTATCGTTTTCAGAGATAAACTAGACTGATTATCGAGAATTTAACTGAATAGTCTCAAATGATAGGAACTTTTTCATTTGTAGCTTATTCAAATTAGTCTTGTTTCTATTATCGATAGTAATAGTTTTTGAGTTTCAACGATTCTTCATCTTAACACATCTTCAAATACATAGGCCATGTTTTTGAAATCATAAAGACGCATAAATGTCAAGTAGGTAAATCAATATATTGTTCGTACTACAGGAAATGTCGGTTCACAAGCATTTTTTGCATTCTTAGCATATATATATATATATATATATATATATATATATATATATATACATATATACACCAAACTTTGCGTATTGGTTTACTTATCCGAATAAATGAAAAATTAATGAATAGGTCAAAAGTACTTTAATCACTTAATAAGACGAACTTTTTAAGTAGATTTATTTTAATCTTTTTTTCGAAAATGTAAATCACAGGCTTAAATCTAGTACCTTTACAATGGGTGTTATGTGTAAACTTTGTCATACTAGATGATTGTAAGTAAATATTTCAGACTAGATTCTGTTTAGTTTCACATTTTCTACAGGTTATTATTATCAATCACATGGAACATTAATTAAAAATGTTAACATATTGTAGAATAAATTACTTTTGTTGTCGTTACTGTTGTCTTGATTGTTTTTAAAATATATTTCTATTTCAGGGAAAATCAATGAATGTGACCATTCAAGTAGTGCTTATCTCTGAATCTGTTCGTTTACAACAAGTCTTAGCAACTTATGGTATTATCACTCAAACACCTGTACAAGTTGAACCTATTCAAGTGAGTGAATTGAATGTCTTATTTTATTCCTGTTTTTATAATCTTTTTAGAAATTCTTTTTGTAAATGTATTTGTTTAATCAATCATTCTTTATTTTTGATTAACAATAACTAATAATCTTATTTTACTCACATAGTTTATAACCCTACATTTTACAGGGTAGTTGTATACTCTTTTTCTGGAATAACTTTTCAAATTACACATCTTGAATATATTTAAGCCGCAACATTGTCCAATCTATTTAGTTGTGTATGCATTATTATAGTCAATACAATATAGTATTTATGAACTGATTATTTTACGACCACTTAATGAAGTTATCAAAAATAATTGTTTGCTCAAATATTCCTTATTTTTAAATATTCTATAGGGATCTGTAGATTTTTAAAGTATATCGATGTCATGGATGATATGGTTTAAAATTACTGATTCTGAAAATATCATTTATTTAGTTTATTAGTTTTGTAATTCTGTTTAATTATTTCAAAACCGACACTTCTTTCGTAACGTGTTCTGATTCAGCTTTGGGAAATGTTAAAATTTTACTTAAGTGCTGTATAAATACGTGGTAATACATTGTGTATTTTATAATCTACACAAAAGTGTATAAAGAAGGAGGAATCAGGTTTTGCTGGAATTAGTCAATTTAATTTTATACATATTCATTTAACAGTTTCTGGTATGAATTTCGCATATATCCATTCTCTCCCTCATTATTTTTAGATTTGGTCTCCCGATCAACTTGTTCGTGTTGGTAAATTTATGGGTTGCAGTGAACGTCTAGGTTTATCTGGTCGTCCTCCGCGACCTTATGGACAACTGGGTACCAGTAAATTTTATAGGTAAGTTATTGTCTTGTTCCAGATTTACGTTTCATAAACGGTTGTAATTATTATGAAATTGGGATCTGAATGTCGATTTAACTTGATGATATCGGTTAGTAGTCCATACCGTTCATGGAAACAAGTGTGCAGTTCTTTGTGTTCTTAGAATAAGCATGTGGATATTTGAAGCTCAGTTAAATCGTTTTGGTTGTTTTCCAAGATACATTAAAAAATTATACAATTTACAAAAAGCAAATATTGTGCTATGAAAAGTAATTAATGAATTTTAAACCGAACGAAATCAGTCACTCAGTTACAACGTAGAGCCTCGTACGTACGTACATCAGTTCAAGTTGCCATACCACATTAGCTTAGAGATGCGATTGTCAATTCAAATTCTATGATGGTAAAGATAGTAAGAATATTAGCGGTAACAGAGAAGTGTTCTGTTCATTGACCCAATCTCCTGGATGGAGAACGAATCATAGTCCCATCCTTTTCCGAGATAGTCTCACATTCGGATTCCTAATTCTGGTTTCCTTGATAAGTCTGAATAGTTGTATACTTTTGCCTATCGCTGCTACCTTTTCCATCTCTCTCATTTTCTCTACCCACCACTGTTCGCGATCATTGTGTAGGCTTTTTATCAGCCTGCGCTTAAGCTGACTCCGCTCGTCATCGTACTTAGAGCCAGACGAGGTGAGTTCCCGAGCATCTATCAGTTCGGTGGATGCAGCTGGAATACACTACTTCTCCCGAGCCTTGTGGTTTACCTTACTAGAAGTTATCACTGCTATTTCCACTGTTTTTTGGATGTCATTCCAAGCTGCCTCAGGGTGGGTATCACTTACGTCGCTGCCTAACTGTTCTTCAGATTATTCGTGAAATATATTCTTGGGTTTGCTGTCACTAAGTAGAACCCTAAGAAGTTTCCTTGCGGTGCCTTTCTTCGCCCAGTAAGCCGCAAACAAACGCACTCTTACTAGAGCCACAGTCTTCAATAGAGCCTCTCCACCGATGGCTGATAGCGATGTGATCTCTTTGGGTCCATCGTTGGGTCGGCTTTGGGGGTCGCCAGGTCAGGAGATGTTTTTTCTTGTGCTACTAGTCGGTGTTTGCTAGAAATAGGCGGTTACCTGAGCATAGCTGCAGCAGACGGTCGCAAATACCATAAAATCCACTCAGGTGTCTTTCCTTTTCACTTAGTCTACCTACTTGAGCATTGAAGTCATCAGCCGTTAATACTATATCAGAGCGCTTGACTCTTTGAAAATGGTTAGAAAGGTTCCTGTAAACCTCATCTTTTACTTCTCTGAGCTGCAGTCAGTGGGAGTATAGGCAGATATGACGAGGAGGCAACGGCTAGTGTCCCTATCTTTCCGAGTCCATGCCATCCCGTTTAGTTGGATAGCTCATAAGCGACTCCGTATTGTGATCCATTCTAAGAGAGCTAGTACTGCCCGACGATCTAATATTATACCTACGCCAGCGAGGCCACGCGAAGCAGCATTAGGTCTTCCAGAAACACGAAGCGTAAACCCTGTTGTTTCTCTGTCTGGACAAATTGAAGTCAAATTTATCACTGTAATCGGATCCTGCATGCAGATTTTGCATCGATGGCACGAGATTCCAGAGCCCTGGCCAATGACGCCTGTTGCCGTATTAGACACATGGTTCGAACATTAAAAGCTTCAACATATAGTTTAGAATGAGGCTTTAGGAGACCAGGAATAATGTTTCGTGAGCCCGAAACGTTTACATCAGCGGCGTGAGGTGACAAAGAAACGAATGAAGGGGCGGTCGTGGAGATCAGAGATTTATTAGAAGGTGCAGAAACGATTTGATTGTGACCCATCTAGTATCGTTTGCCTAACGTTTATGAGGGGGTTTTCACTTCTCGGCTGCTTCAGGGAATCGCTAAGTAGACATATCACAAACGAAATTATGCTTTAACCGACGTTTATCAAATACTTCAATCACTGACGCAGTCGATCAATATTATTTGAATAATTATCAAGTAATTTTTTAATTGTTCATTGAAACACATATGGACATATACATCCGTTAATAGTTGTCACCAATTAATCTAATACTCTCTAAGGTTATTTGATTTTTTTTTGATGATTCAGATTTGTTGTATGAAAAACATGTTTAGGGTGTTAGATTCATCCAAATAATGTACATAGTTAGTGTTTACAATTCCTGTTAATTAAAATAGGTCATTTATTTAATCAATAGACACTGATCATATAAATAAATGAATGAATACACTATATAGTCATGTTTTTTATATACGAAGAAATAACCATTTATCGGTGTTAATTCGACTGAATTTAATCGATGAAAATTACTGTTTGACTGATTTATGCTTTTTTTTATCTATCAACTTGACTATTTAGTAGAGAATGTTGTGGTTTTTAATTTTTTTTAATTAATATTTTTACTGTTGATATCACCAAATTTTTTTTTTAATATTTAAATTTATATATTTATCAAGGAGAGTATGTGATACTGTTAGGTTTTCAATAAAATTGAATTAACTTTTCGATTTTACACATTGTGGTTTTTAAACATTCATTACTTATCTTAGAATATCTGGTCTGACTGTGCTTTGTTATCCAATATTATTTGAATCTCAAGAATTTTATCTCCTTCATGATATGCAAGTGGTTATTGATGAAGCAAAGGTAGGCGAAACAATGTTTGATTAAGTTTTCTATATTTTATCATGTTTGTTTTTTTCTTGATGATCAGTTTGATGAGTATGCAACACAAGAATGAAGTAGAAAATAACATTTACTATACTGTAGCATGATAAATTTGATTATTTATCAAATTGACAAGCGAATTGGTTTGAAAAATAACTAACTGAGCTTAGTACTTAACTGAACTAATGAATTAAAAATAAAGTTATTCTCCCACCAATACATTATATCTCTATGAAGTACAGGCATATTAACAAATATTTTCTAAATTTTACTATTGACTCTATTATAATGCTCAATAGGGCTATTCGAACTCCTACCGATTGACCAAATTCATATATTCCAGTACGACCTCAAATACTGTTTCCCAATTCTCCGTTATATTAGAACACAACATCGTTAGATGAAAGTTGTTTATAGGGTCCGAGTACAGAAGAATAATAAGAATACTTTACACAAAATTCATATTTATACAGTTAGGACGACAGTGACTACTAACCAATAGGAAACAACATTTTGAAGTATGTGAACTTGATAGTTAGGACGACCTTAAATATTGACCAATAGAATTAGACTTACAAAATAATTTCTTTAGGATATTTGATGAATATCCTAACAGACTCTTAATTTATCTTGAAAATTATAAATGGTTGAAAAGAATTCAACAATTCATATAACATTGAATTATCTAGAATATTTGATGTACAACCATATAATGTATTTTTTTAATAAAAATATCTTTAAGTGATCAGTGTGTGTGTAATTATGTAACTTAAATCTTTTCAACATTATATGTTGGCTATCATTTCATTGACCAACTAATATATATAACTAGTTACATGACATTTAAATGAAAAATATTATTTCCCATGTAGATCTTTATCAGTCTTTTTTCTAATATACAGTAATATTTGTATGCATATATTGTGAAAAATAGGCTTGAATTAATCGAAAAAAGATATGAGTTAGTAATACTAAAAGTGTAGACTACACAACTCATCATAAGAAAATAAAAACTTGAATAGTGGAATAATCGCTGTAATATGGGTGGTAATAATATTAACAATAATAGTGATCAATAATCATACTTTTCTGTGATCCATTGTTTCCTAACGCTCTCATAAAATCTTCGAAATAATTGATCGCTTATTTGTGCAGCAATATCAATCGTTTCTTTTTATCAATCCTCTCTTTATTTCTACTCATGATAGACAGATTTTCTATTTTTGTCTAATTGGTGGAGATTACGTGGACGTCCCACATTTTGTTTTCTGATGCGTGAAGATATGGTAAAGTAAGTCATTTTGTTCAGTATTTATGATTACACATTATTATTATTATTATTATTATTTAGTACTAGTGGTAATCGTAGTAATCTTTATGAAAATTTAAATGAATAAACGCACAACTAGATATATTTCTACTTTCTGGATCCATAGCCTTAAAGTAAGCTTGGAATCAGTGTCACAAGGAATATTAATAGGAAGTGTAGACTGCCGACTTAACAGATAAATCAGTTTGTTAAATTAATAATTTTAATTTCAATTAAATTCATTCTATTCAGTAATATGATGATTAGCATTTTGATTAAGCTACTAACTCCACACCTTGATCGGCTAAACTAAAACGGATTAAAAAGTTGGATAATTGTAGAAAGCTTTTCTTTTTTGATCTTTAGTTAATAATGATTTTTCTCATTATTCTTCTAGCATATGTATTCAATTTGTTCACTCTATACTTCATAATTATTTTTATTATATCGCCTTGATAGTTCGTGATAATTTTGATAAATTATATTGAATTATCTCAATATAATAATACAATAAACTTCATTTATATTTCTACAAATTATGATATAATAAATATGTAGTACAATTAAATCTTTTTTAAAATCGAGAGATTATTTATCAGTTTAATTATTATTCCAGTATTTTGCAGACTTTAGATCTGTATTTCGTTTCAACGGTGAAGTATACCTTTACTCGTTGTAGTTCATATATATTATTCTGTCATTTATTTTAGTCTCTTTTTTTACTATTTCCAATTGTTCTTACATCTACTCTGTAAGCTGTTTTGTGAATTTGAATAATGGCAAAATTCCTATTTGTAATCTAAATGAAACAAAGTATTCTCTCAGAGACTTGGATGACTATTCCCTGCCGCCTTAAATATCTTATCACCAATCAAGTTTTAATCTTTGTGTATTTCAGTAAAGTCTACAATAATTTATGCACCAATAAGCCTGGAAATTCTGTTCTTGATAACGAAATATATCTTAAAAGCTTTATAAGATAAGTTTAATTTGGTAAATACGTTGACCATTTCAATATCTTGCATGTTCAAATGAGCCTTTCGTGTGTGTTACTAAAGCCTTTAAGTTATTCACTAACTTATATCATTTATCTCTTTAATAAGTTCCTTATAAGATAAGTGTAATTTGCAACAGTGCATTAAGTTATACTTGGGTTGTTATTATTATTATTTTAGTTTGCATTTCTAAAAAATATACATAGTTGAACTACAATTGATACTATAAATGATGAAATTACATAATAAAAGTGTTTAGATTTTGTACAGAGTCAGCATTAGTCAACGAATTATTTCGTTCGATAAGGTTATAAATGTGCATAAACTTTAAATTTAATAGTGACTAGCGTAAATTTCATATGAAATATAGTTAAATGTACAAGTTAATATTTGACATGTTTTGGGGGGGGGGTTTCATTGAAGCGTTATTAACAGAACTATTGTCAAATACTTTGGATAAACATCTCCTTTTTTCTCTTTTTTGCATTTTGTAGTTATGTAAGAGAGTTGCAAGCGAGTTTTAAGTGATTTCGTTTTTTCTCCCATATGAATAAATCAATATCAATGATCGATTGACATGATATTTTGTACGTTTATAATAAATTGTATGTTGGTTATCACTTTTCATTGTCTTCCTCGTTTTTTTGTTCACTATCTTTAGTTTCGTTTTTACCAAAAAACAAAATCAAATTGTTCAAATCATAGAACAAATAATGCAATAGCTTTTAGCTTTGTAAACTATCTTGTTTTTTCTGTAAATTCTAAAAAATATTTAAATTTTTTATGAAGCTCGAAAAATGACGAAATAACTACTTTTTTCGGTTTTATTTCGTCATAAAAATGTACTTCAGTAGTATGAATGTTTGTCTTCCAAATAATATCGCTTAGATTCCATAATATTAGTCTCTTACTTTATTTCGAGCAGGGATGGTAGAATCTTCAGTCTTCTTACCTTCTACATATGAATAAAAGTGGAGTATATGACTCGGCATAAATTATCATCGGTGTAGCAAACGTAAATTCGCAACTGCGCGATAGTGAATAAAAATAATGTTAGTAGCCATAGTTAACAACTAAAAGATCAAAATGACAAAAATAAAACAAGGCATGAACAGAATTTAAAGGTTTTAAATTATATAAAGTTGAAGATTTAAAAGAGGAAAACACTAGTCTGGCTACAACTAATCTTTAATCCGATTACATGAAACTTTCTTTGTATCTAATGAAGTTGGTACATTTCATAGTATTTCAAATAATATTAGTACAATTTTATTTTGTACTGTATGCCAGAAATCAGTATAACTAACTTTGAGACTAGATTAATATGCATAGTTGATTAGATCTTCGTTGTCTGATGCAAAATATCTTACCTGGTTGTATTAATCTTGTTCATTCTCATTTAAGCTTAATCTTGTTTATCTTCATTTTCATCTCTTATATTCTATATAATAATTGGTTGCATTGGTTCATTCATATTTTATAACTTGTTTTCAAAGTAAACTGTTACAAACAAACCCATTTCTACACGGTTCATTATTTATTTATGTGTTTGAAAACTCCCTCTAACCGCTAACAGGAAATTTTCATAATCATCATCTATAACCGAGATTCAATTAATATCATCGTAATCATAATGATTATCCTCATATATCATTCATCCTAGCTAAATAAATAAATTTGTCTATCTCACTCACTATTCATCACTATCGTTTTCGTTCATCAGTTCAAGATTTTTAACACAGTTTGTAATAATAATCACAATGGTGGATCGATACATTATTAAAATGTTAAACATTCATTATCAGTTTGTAAGATTATTGGTTAGTTATTAGATTGGTCGAATTTCGGTGTTTGCATTTGATTTGCCAATCATTTCCTCCTGATTTTTTTATACACTTCAGTCAGTTGAAAATGTATACCGTTGTACAATTGTAATCGAAAAGCGAATTTAAATTTTTTTGAAAGAATTTTATATCGGATTATTTTGGTTCATAAATTATTTACAATTTTTATAGTTTGAACCGAAATCTACCACTGTCTAGATTGTATCAATTCAACCCTAACAATCGAATAAGCGCTGCTGTTGTTAGGAAATTAGTACTAGGTAAGAATAACAGATCAATAGATGAAGTGGTGAAACTTCATCAGTTGTGGTGGTTGGGACATGTGTTACGAATGCATAACCACCGATCGCCTCGACGAGCTTTGTTTTGTAGTGTAGCGGTAGACTGGAAGGAAACTATGAGCGGCCAAACCAAAACATGACAGAAATCCATGAAGTCACTGACAAGTGGACTGAGTCATGTTGGTAGATGTAGACTACCTGGTTGGGGTCCGCGAGACGATAATAACCAATGGTTAGAAACCTAGAACGACATGGTTCAAAATCGTTTGCGATGGTGCAAGTGCATTCACTCTTAGTGTTCTCTCAAATAATAGTGTGAATTCCTCATCACCTTTATCCTTCTCTGTAAGTTTATTTCGTTGGGATATACTTCATGAATAATATCTTCGAACCCTAGTCTTCTCCATTACCGCTAATATTTCTACTACATTCACCATTATAGGATTTGAATTGATAATTGCATCTCTGTGTTGATGTGGTATGCCAACTGGAACTGATGTACGTACGTACAAAGTTCTGCATTGTAGCTGACTGACAGATTTCCTAACAAAAGCTACTTATTAGTAGTGTTTGTAAACTTTCCATTTCCTTTGCTACTACAAATATTATTGACTTCAGCATTCAAGTAGTAGTAGTATGTTTCGGTTTTGTTTTTATTGTTATTATTATGCAGCTAATCACATCAAATAATTGAAATTTTTGAACTGAGTGAAGGTACTTCATCTGTTTTTAAACAGTAGATGATTGTCATCTACTGTTGTTTATTGTTTGAAAAATGAGAATGGAACTGTGTGAACTTGACTCCGACTACTTCAGTTTAGATAACCGCATAGTAAAAATAGTTTACAAATATCTCAAAATAGCATTCATCAACATTTACTTGAGGCAATAATTCTCATGAATTGAACATATGAAAATTACTAAACCGAGTTACTTATTCAACGAAACTGACTTAAATGATTTTGCACTTTTAATATTCATTTTTAAGAATTGTATAATGATGTTGGATTCTTGTGTTTATAGAATATTTTATACTGATAGTACAATGCTGACCACTTAGTTTTACATGAAGATCCATTGTAACTTTCAGAACCTGTATTTTTTGAATGCGTTTATCAATTAGCCTACTTCATGATTGATGTGTTTATAGTTGATATTAGAGTTTCCAGTTAAACTACTTAGTTACTGCAAATATTTCCATTTTCTAATTCTTAATTAATACACACTATTCAAATTCTAACATGATATGATGTATTCTGGAGCGCTGTGAATGTTATCTTACCTGATTTGGTGTATCTAACTTACAGCAATTGACTTAAAGATTTTCATGTACTTTGTCTCAGCCAAAGGAACGTAACACCTGGTTCAAAGTTCTGAGTACACCTAGATTAGTGTTACTTTCTTTCTTGAAAAACATTCCTTCTCTTTTACACGGTCATAACGATCGATGCGTTTAAATTTTATTTTATCTTCAAAATACAGCTGACTATATGTCATAGTACATGTTTTCTAAGTATACAGACAGAATATGTCGATTTTATTTTCTAAAAACTGATTTCCGTTACATGAAACAATAATTACAAGTCTTTGGTCACATTTCAACCTCAACACTAGTTACATGCTCTTGTCAACACAATGATAATAAAAAGTGATTTATTCTTAAAAATGCTCAACTTTCATTTTAGAATAGGTCTCAGTTTCATGATTCACTCCGTTAGTCTAACTCCGGACGGCTTGGCGGTTATCCCTAGTCCTCGCACAAATAAAGTGACTCACAGTGTTGTTTTTAAACGTGTACTTGGTAAATTATTGAGGTTGATATGATAATCAGAACTATGACAGTGATGATAGGAGAACTGTATTCAAAAAATCAATGTTCCATATAATCAGACAGATGTATGTTTAGATCTGTCAATTTTTCGTTTGGAGTTTCTTTCATAATGTTATAAGCTTTTTCTATTTTCATTTGTCTGAAATAATTACAAATTATATTTTCTAATATATGATATTTATTTACATTTATGATAAAAGGGTTCCAGGTTTCGATAAGTTGCTTCGTTTCCTTGTCAGTATGAAAAATGGCACTGTTCAAGAAGCTCATGTTGTTCTAGGACGTGCACAGGTAAAGTCGTTGATTAAACATCCTATTTTAACCTTCATACTTCATACACATGTGTACATGGAGTAAATTTTAGGCTCTATGTCTGCTACCGTGTTTTGAACTTAATAGTTGAATAAACGTACATTACAATTCTGGATTACGTATTTGTTCAAACTCTAAAGCGTTATCCAATAGGCTTTTGGGTTACAGTGAATAGCAGTTGCTTGACAGGTCATCCGTTCAAGAACCCTATATATGATATGTTTTACTGGTAATTTTAGTTATATTCCTAACATTTCAGGATGATCGGTATTATCAAATGAGGACAATAACCTGAAAGTGGTTCACTTGAAATACGTGGAACGTTTTCACACTGTGATCTCTCTCAACCATGTCTCACTGCTGTCAATAAACTTGAGGACATTATTGTATATTGTAGCCGAATAATAATGAAAATGAACCAAACGGTCAATTAAACAACTATTCCACTCCTTTATTGTGAGTTATTGTAATCAGGATTACAAAAATATTTACGATTGAATGACAGTTCAGTTCATGTAGGCGGTTTTCACGTTTGCACAAATCAAAAACCATTTTCCTACTCCAAGTTAATTTTTCTATTATTTTCTACTAATTCCGTTAGAAAATATTCAGACTTTAATCATGCCATTCATCATTGATCATTGAATATCTTGTTCAACTGATGGTGAATGGTTTGACTAATATCACTGTTGTAATAAACACTAGAAGAAACTAGTTTCATGCATCGTGTTATCTATCTTAACAGCCAATCAACAACACAACTGGAAGTAATGCAATTTATTAACTGAGTTAAGCAAGCCATACTCTTTGAATATTCACTTCTTTGTGAAAATGGAAATAAAATTTTGCGATCTTGATACTAAATAAACAAAAGTTTTGACAAATTTTTACCAGAACACATCTCTAATGAGTATTTTTTAAATTTTATACATTTTTAACTTTGGTACATTTGAAATTTCTTGATTATAAATTTTTCTCGATTTTCTTCAAGCATTTGATACAAACATTTCTTATGTACATTCAAACAATTTTAATTAAATTTTAGAAATTTGTTTCAAGTGGATTTGTTGAACATTTGGACTTTTTACCGTATTGGACTGCAAAAGGTGAATATTTTCGAAGATTACATCAGTTAGATACTGGACGTTCATATCAAAGTTTAGATAATTTGCCTAAAGCAGTGAATATACCATCGAAATCTGCAAATCAATTTCAATCGCATATGTCTGACGAAGAAATTATTCGAAGTATGCATGCTATAGATAGAAAAGTAAGTTTTTTTTTAATTATTGAATGCAATTACTTTAGTTTCGCTAGCCAAATACTATCATTAGCATCTACACAAGAAGTTTAACTCAATGCATTGAATGGACAAACCTATTATTGATAGAATTTATGTTTCCTGTTTTGTTACGATAATGAAATATTATATCTGCTATAACCTATGAATTAGAACGTTAAGTGTTTCAAGCAAAAAATCTACACAAAGCACTCACATAAATGATAATTGTGTGAATACTAGTGAATAACTTCCAGTTTGAATTATGAAAAATTTTAAAGACCATCCATAGTCGATCGAAGCTCAAATATGTTATGAATAAGTCTCTTATTGACTAAACTTTTTTCTGAAAAAAAATGGTCGACCACAGTCTGAAGTCTTGTGTTGACCATTTGATATCGTAGAAATTTATTTCAAATCTCCATATACACCTTCAATAGTACATATTATTGAGGCTACAGGTTTTGAGTGACTGTTTTTTTCATTTGTGTAAAATTGCAAAAACTTTTCTTATTCGTTAAAATTTCGTTTGTTACGAATAGAGAATATATACATTATAAGTTGAGTCAGTAATTACAGGTTCCTTTGCATTTTGATTTTGAACCTTTTTAATCTGCACATTTGATTCTGTCATTGTTTTTTTCTCTGTCCCTCTCTCTCTCTCATCCAAACTTTGTGCACTGAATGAAAATCATGCATCCTCGTTTAGCCTTTACAAAAGTTAACTGAACAACAAGTCATTGAACAAGCTATTAAACCAGGTGATAGTCCATTAAATTTAGCTTATCGAATAGCTGCATTACATGAATTATTAAATCGACATGGTTTAGATCATGGTTTTTCAACTGATCAACATTTTCTCATTATACGTGATTGTCTCACAGAATTGTCACGAAAAGCCGGTATTCAACAAGCATGGTAAATGTCTATTGTTTTTTTTTTCAAATTTTTCTAAACAATGTACATAATCTTCTTTAAGAATGCCAATATTCATTGTTGTTATTTATTGAAATGACTCAATAAGGATATGAGAGTGTATTTCGAATAAGATTTCTAACTTCATCTATATTTTACTTTGCCAGCAAAAGTATTCACCTTCACTATGACCACTGCAACGTAAATTTCCGTACGAATGTACATCAGTTCAAGTTGTTATATCACAATAGCACAGACAGATGAAATTGTCAGTTCAAATTCTATAGTATTAGATATAGTAACAGTATTCTTGGTAAAATTCAAACAAACGAAATAAAATCAGAGTGAAGAAAAGGTCCTGCAGAATTGAAAAGATTGAAATTTGACTTATGACTTTCTTTACTTGCCATTACAAACGTTCAATTATTTAATAACTACTACTGCTACTACACTGTAATTAAATATCATTATGTTTAACCAGTTATAATTATAAATCGCTAACGACTAAGTAACAGTTCCATGCTTCTAATACGTTTGTGGTTAATTTTCTTGCTAGCACAGCGCACTACATTTAAATCTTTCTGTCTGTCTGTTTTCCATGTACTGATCTTTTTATGTATATATTTGTACATAATACTGTATGTAGTTTTTATTCATATTCTCAAAAAGTAACCATTAAACTCATTATTGTTGTTATGAATTCACGATGCTTCATATATTGTTGTCTGAACTCTATTATTTTCAGGTGTGTAGTACGTTTATCTGCTGCTTTACTATCTCAATTCGCTAGCAGTTTGGCTCCATCATTGTCAACTATTCTTGTCTGTGGCAAACAACTTACAATTGGCATTTCACAAGGCTCAGAGGTTGTTGTTAATAAACCTTTAAATCCAGATGAACTACACGCTTTATTACGTGAAGAGGTTTATTCACATGATCCGGTACAGTTTTCGTTGCAACAAGAACTTATTTTATCTGTCAGTAGTTTATTGACTTCAAACAAACATTTGTTTGATGGAATCAAATTTATACGCTTAGGGTAAGTAAAATGATATAATGCAAATAGGCATTAGTATAAGTGATTGTTTTTCCTAACACATTTCCAAACACTCTCCATATGTATGTGTACTAATCAAACGATCAGAAAGCACTGCAATCTTCAGTCATAGACAACAGTGAAAATTTTGTAATTATGAACATAGGAGTATCATATTACTTTAGTAAATTATAAACTTGAGACAAATGTGTCACTGCTTACATCAACATAAATTAAAAAGGTGAAAATAAGCTAATAGCATTGAAAATGAAAATATTCCTGTTAGGGAATACACTATTCAAAATGAAAACCGAACAGAGAATGAAAAAATACGGAATAACATATCATTAGTAAAATAAAAATATCACTATGCCAATGTAATCGACTTTGAAACATTCTGTCTTCTAACGTTTTCAGTCACTCACTACTCACGATTACTATTGTGCTTGTTTTGAAACGTAACATTTTTTCGGTCAATTGAAATTGACTTATTATTTTTTGAGGTTCGTTATTATAATCAATTGTTTCTTTTCGTCAATTTGACTCATCTAAATATACCAAAGGATATATACATATCAACATAAAGTGAACCACTTCGAATTATCACAGTAAAACTAATAGTGGCAGTCTATAGATATTAAATGACGTAATCATGATGAATAAGTGTTGTTAAAATATAGGAAAAAAAACAGTGAAAAAGTATTTTCTGCTTTTCCTTTGTTTAGTTAAATTTAGTGCTTCATTGTTACAAACTTAATGAATGTTTATTTTTCGTGTTCTTTCTTCTTTTCAGTTGGTTATTGGAAGCAATGAAATTGAAACTTGAATTGGAAACATGTTTAGATGTTGATAAAGATCCTTATCATCATCATCATCATCATAATCAAAAACAACAGCATCAACAACAACATCAAGATGGGGAATTATGTAAATCTAGATTGATTTATGAGGATGTATCTAAATCATTGGCAAATTTAGAAATCAATCCACGTAGTCTAGGCGCATGTCATTTGTATAGTTTGCCTCCCTGTCAAGTTAAAGATTTGTTATTACGTACATTAAAAGCTGGTCAAGAAGGAAAAACTGAACTGAGTAATTCTGTAAATTCTACAACAACTACTACTGCTCATACTACTTCGACTACACCTAGAACGGATATTTTCAACTCTGCAAAACCGGCTGTAAACAATACTCAAGAATTATCAGTAATTACTGAAAGCAGACCAATGAGTAAGAAATATGGAGTGATTGTGTATTTACATGGAAAATTTAATGTACAATTCTTAACATTTTAATGTTTACTACTTCGTCTAGTAAATCTTAATCATATTTCAGCTATGTTGCAGATATACTTAACTGAGTATGAAAGTATACAGGAAGTTGTTACGGATCAACGGTAGTTGGTATGACAAAACTACGTTTCATTTTAGAGTTCCGAGTCATTTAGTGACCGCCATTTTCGCAATATTCATTTAATCTTAGCGAATAAAAAGTGTTCATCTATAAAACTAGCATACAAAGTAACTAAGCCACAGTAGCCATTATTAGTAGGTTTTAAATATTATTGATTTACTATCTCCGTTTTTTTTCGAAATACATTTTTGAACCTCTGAGTTGTTAATGCTTTGTTATTGCTATGTGTAGACAATCCTTTGGAGACTGATGGTAAAATATAGAAGGTTGATAAGTACTTTCTAAGTGGTCCTATCAAATTCGTATCTATCCAACTAAGATGTTAAGTATTTTTGGTTCACCTTGACCAATGTACAACTGACCAGGTGAATAATAAACAGTGTTTTTTTAACCATATATGCAATGTCTTGTAAGCGATTTTACTTATCATGAGATAGATGCATAGTTGATGCCTAGATATTTTAATTAACTAACGATTCTTCCTATAAATCTCTTTTTTGTCCGACGTTTTGCATTTAATTCAAATATTCTCACGTAAAAGAATCCATAATATAAAAACTTAGTTTTATTTTTAGTTTATTTGCAGTCTCGCAATTGATGTAATAATTTAGCAGTCTGTCTTAGTTTTCTTTCGCTCATACATTATTAATAATTGAATATTCAGCTTATTCAAGGTAGTGTTCCATTGAAAATATCATGTTTTTTTTTAAATATTTGGTACTCTATATTTAGAAGATGTTTCAGAATATATCCATCGGACTCGTCGTGCACGTTTACGTCGTAATATTCCTCGTGATAAACGTTCTCATGGTTCAAGTGAATATTCGTCTACAGAGGTTTTAGATATATCAAAAGCATTGTTTCAACGTCAGATGGATGGATGTTTAGGCGTCGTACCTCCAACGTTTTATCAAGGTGTTTATTTTATTCTTGAACGATCTCCTCATGGTATATTGATTTATGGTAAACTGCTGCCACAGGTAAATAAACTAGTCGTATTGGAGCTCATCATTCGTTTTTTCCATTATTTGCACAACCAGACTGCACGTTTTTTGTAGAGGCCGTCGGTGCAAGAACATCATTATTCTTTAGTTTACTGACAATTTGAATTCGTGTATGTTTCACATGAATTCTTCCTGGTCACATTCATATGATCAATTGATTTGATACAATATTAGAGGCATTTTACTAAGAAACATACATCTGCAATGAATACAGTTATACCCTCTACCGTGTTGCCTTTCTCTGAGACTCAGGAATATTAGAAAATGAGACTTAATTTGTCACTTCAAAAAATGATTATTTAGAATATATATTGTAATGTTAAAACAGATTTATACAATAGTTTTCATCTTATTCCTGGTATTATTTTTTTATCTTTAAAGAAACCTACCTTAACAGATATGACACCGTATGATTTCAATTTTGTTGATGAAGTTGAATGTCTTCTTAGACCAATATGTGATCCTGCCTATCGGTCACTAGTTGTAGAGACAATGATGGTCATTGCAGTTATACTACAAAGAAACACTGAACTTTCATTTGATGAGGTAGTCGATATTAAACTCATTATTATAGATGCAATAAACGCCTTCAAACGTGATCGCCATCCTAACATGTAAGTGTATCCTTCATTCACTTGTTTAATTGTTTTATTCAGTGTACGGTTTCTAACCGTTTTGAAGGGCAGTATTGAGCGATTATAGAGAAAAAATAAATAGTTTTTATAATAAATAATTCAAAAAATAAAGTATAACAATAATGAATCGTGGTTTTAATTATTTCATTCGCTTATCTTAAGGGATATTGTCATTTGTCAATTCGAATGTAATTCTTACATATAATGCGTAAGATAGCATTTCAAAGGTTAAGGAAAAGCCGAAGTTAGATAGCAGACAATTTTACCTTTAGTTTGTTAGTATATTTTTGACAGTACTATAAAATGCGATGAATCAAATGAGGAAAATAGTAAAGAATAACTGGTAGAGATAGTAGTGTAGTATTTTATCCATCAATGATTTATGGTAAAGATATTTGTAATCAAACTAGTCAGTCTTTTTCATGTAATAGTGATGTTTAAAAGCATGATTCAATTAGGCGAACTGTCTAGTTGTAGATTTTAATTTATAAACTTAACATTTAGTACTCATTGTATATTGTTACCATTGTTCACCATTACTTTGTGCATATTTTTGTGTAGAGTAAGTTTATTCAGTTTAGTTGCTGTTATTCGTTTTAGTAATCATTTAGGTTTGTTGTTGAGCTGTTTTTTTTTTAATAGGAGTACAATTTTTGTTATGTATTTACATCTATTATCGATATCGTTTGAGGTCATACATCCAGTGGTCAATCCTTAGGCTTTATTTAATAAATTCTTTAGTTTTCCAGTTAACATGTTATTTTTAAAAAATTTGTTCATTTATATTTATTTGTTGATGAAAATGTTAATTTACATTTTTTTGAGTATCCAAAAGAAAATTTTAACTGATTGATAAATGTAATACTTCTACTACCTCTACTACTATGGGATTTGAATCGACAATTATATCTCAGTGTTAATGTGGTATGACAAGTTTAACTGATGTACGTACGTATGTATAAAGTTCCACATTGTAGCTGACTGAATGAGTACAACAGCACCAAGGCATCTAGTCAATTTAAGATTCAAAATCATTTTTTGTTGGTTCACTATCATAAAAATGTTTGTTCCTCCGTAGAATTTAAAGTTTTTTTGTTTTCATTATTTCACTTGGTGTGAACATGTGTGTTTTTTTTGTTGTTTTGATTATTTGACGCTTTTAATCATTGATTCTTCACCATTTCTCAACTCAATAGAACGAATGATATTCTTCACTGTTACAGTATGAAATAAGCATGTAAAATGTTACTCGGTGCTTGTTAACAGTTTCTGTAAGAGTAGAGTGTTTTGCTTAGACAGCACTGCAATAAATTGTTTCATAATTCAAATTCCCTGAATTATTTCTGTCTGATAAACATCAATAGGTAATAGTCTTTTGTTTATAATCTTTCCATAGTAAGATATATTTTTCCTCTCAGTTGTATAGTTCACTATTATTTTTTTAATTTTATTTAGATCCGTTGATAACGTCCCTTCTCATGTGCAAAGACGTATGTCATGGTCTGAGCCAGATTTACTGTCCTCCTTGGAATTGCCAATTTATACGGAATTCACATCAACTCCAGCGAATGCTACCATGGGAACTACTTGTTATATCGCTAAGTCTGTGCTTGATAGACTATTGAAAGGACATATAGATCTCACTGGTGTCACTAAAGATGCTTGTTGTGCAATGTGATCGGTTGTATACGTCTTAAGAAGAAATTGATTTTATGTTGCTTACCGCATTTTAATTTAAATAATTTATCCTAGATTTCCCCTCTACACCACTTCATTCTTCTAGTATTTAAATCACTTCATAATATGACTATTATTTTCAATTTTGTTTCATTTGATCCTCTCTTCATTTACTTAAATATTTTATAGTTAGACATTATGAATTCTGATGATTTAAAATATAATTTACATTACACCTGATGACAAGTTTTGCCGAATCATTGCTGTTTTTTTTATCGGAATGCCTTTATGAAATTTAAAAGGCTCTTATCATTACTACCATTCTCCAGGCGTTATGTGATTCCAATTAGCGTCTAAGGCGCAATTTTTGGATGTCGAGATTTGTATTTTGGTTAGCGAATTGATTCTACACTGGGTTTCATGTTTAGTTTCTTTAAAAGCAGTGGAATGGAGCCTTTGTAACTAAGTGTTTTACCCGTAATTGCTTATTAACAAAATATATTCACAGAAAGAAGTAGTACTAACTAGGAAGGTAGAAGTTATATCACTTCATCTAACTAATGGAGGTTTGCTAAATGGATCACTTGACTGTCAGCCGTCGGCTTGTTGACTTAAATCCTACTTCGGTTTGGGCAATTTGATAATGCTGTCAGACAACAGATTATGGAGCACACTACACTTATCAGTCAGTTTAATCCTGTCGATTCCTACCACATTTTATTGTAAAAGAAATAGTTTTGTGAATCTCAGAGACTAATTTTATAAACGTTTATAGTTTTTGGATTCCTTCTACTTAATTTCCCCCTCCTAAACTTAATCTCACTTTATTCTATCAAAATCGGAAATATGTACAATCCGCTCTACTAATTTACCACTGTTTACTATAAAATAACTACAAATGTTAATGAGATCATCTTAGATGTGTTGGACAAGTAACTGTACACAAGGTAATTTCAAGTAACACTGACCAATAACAAATATCATATAATCTAGCTGTCAGCGACGTTCTACCAAGCATTGTTATCATTAATTAGCGCAACTCAGCGACCAAGTACCACTTAACATAATAAGTCTAAAGCTTAAAGTTCAGAGTATTCGAATAGTTCTTGAAATGAGAAAGTTTGTTCTGGTAATTATTATCCATATCAGTGTCATACAGGTTACAGATATTTTTCTTTAACATATTCTAAGTTTATGGTTTATCGAAAAATATAACTTCCCTTTTAAAGGTGCCTTATTAAGTTGATTGCAACAGCGGATCATCCAATCGTTGACTAAATGCAACTAGTAACAAGATGACAGTTTTCAGGAAGTTTCTAAACATGGTGAAGTAAATTTTCCTATGAAACGAAGTAACTCTAGTCTTTTACCCTGTCGATATATCCTCATGGATTAAATCAACTGGATAACGGTCTATAGAAGCTGACTAACACGAATATTTCGAATTGATCTGGTTCTAGCATTGCAGCTATATGGTAATTAACATGCTACCGGTTCAAGTCTTCATATTATTCATATTCGACCACAACTGCATTTAAATGAAATGCAAGTTAAAGTATGGTGCGATATTATGCGGTAACCCTGTGTGGTGTTTGAATTAACTAGTGACTTCTTGTTGTTGTTGAATGCTTGATTTCGAATTCTAAATATAGTACATTCGTTTGTGCTCATCCAGTAGTTCTTGATTCACATACTTCTAATTATCATATTGGCGTCGCGATGGAGCTTGTAATGGAAAAGTTAGATATTCATTCTACTTCTGAAGCTTTTGAAGATTATTTGGAAAGGTTTGAAATCTGGAGTATGACCAAGAAAGATGTTAAAGATGATAAAATTGTGGCTCATTTCCTGACATTCATCGGAAGAGAAGCGTACAGCTTATTGAAAATTTGGCATATCCAGAAAAACCTATCTCACTTCCCTATGCAATGCTTGAGGAGTCATTATTAAATCATATAGTGCCCTGGTTTTGAATGCCGTGAAAGGGCGAAATTTCATAAGATGATTCGTCAAAATGACCAAAAGATGAAGAAATTCATTCTTGAATTGCAGAAACAAGCTGTCAGATGTAATTTCGGTGATCAACTTCTTGTGCAACTGAGAGACCGATTAATTGCAGGAATTAACATACCTAGTTTGAAAAGAGAGCTGTTAAGAATGCCGAACTGTTCCCTTCAAGATGTTAGAACTACGAGGCGTTGAATGAACTTGATACTCAGGCGATGAAGATTTCCAATACTTTGATTAGTTGTCATGATGAAATACAATCTCAGGGTCAATCAAAATTGTGTTCGTTTAACAGTGGTTCCTATTCTCGCGTAAATATGAACGGTGTTTCAATAAAGAATTACAAAGGAAATCACAAAGGTGAGACCAAGTTTGGCAAATGTTTATCATGTAGAAAACTTCATTCTCGTAATTCATGTGCATTTCGTAATGCTAAATGTTTTAGATGTGGTAAGATAGGACACATTCAAGCAGTATGCAAAGCTACTGTTCATTTTGCCTCAAGTAGTACTAAATCTTGTAATTTAGATCCCAATAATTCAGCTGATCCTAATGATCATTTATCTTTGTCTACCATTTCGAAAGGTAATGCTCATATTCAAAAGCGATTATATACATCACTTGAATCATGGCATGACTTTATTGTGGACACAGGCAGTATCGAGTCCATTATTTCATTCAAGAACTTGAAATCTTTATATCCTAACGTTGTGGTACGACCCACTGATGTATCAATATTGGGGATTACTGGACACAGACTGCCTATACGAGGATGTTGTGAATTGCTAATAAGAGATGATAATTCCTCATACATACCTTGTGAATTTTTAGTTAGCGAAACAGGACTGTCAATACTGGGTTTAAAGAATTTGAAAAGACTTAAAGTGGAGTTGTCTTTCCTAGTTTCTAAAGAAAATTCTGATGCTTTACTTAAAGATTTGATAGCCACGTGTGCTAAGTGCAGTGGAGGTATGAGAACGATTCATCACAAGAATGCCAAACAAATTCAACATGTTGACTACATTTCTCGACAGTCATAACAAGATAAACCTGGTAATACTTCAGACTGTTTATTGGTGCAACCTTTACCAGTGAAACGTCCAGATCTCATTAGAGAAACTCGTAGAAACTTTGGATGTATAATTAATGCTATACGTAAAGGTTGAAATGCTAATCTGAGACGTAGATTCCTTGTCTATTTTTCAAAGCGGGATGAGCTACCCACTTCTCCTGATGGTATTTTGTGTTTAAATGATCGGGTTGTTATTCTTCCTTCATTGCGTAAAGCTGTCCTGGAAGATCTTCATAGTGGACATTTAGGTGTTAAGAAAATGAAGTCCTTGGCGAGGCCCGCGTGTTGGTGGCCAGAGATAAATGCAGATATTTGTCGTACAGCAAACAATTGCGTAAAGTGTCATAAGCTGAAAATGCGTTTTGAAGTCACGGTTCATATAAATTATAGCTATAGTGTAATTAAGTCAGAGATGATTTATTCAAAACAGTTTAGCATGTTTTATTGCTGCTAAATAAGTCAACAATGCGTCTATGACTTAAGCCGGTTACTTGGTAATATAAAGTGTAGAGACCTATCTAAATGGATTTTCTACTCTAACAGTTCACTCCGGCTCCAATAGGTGCAGTTTGATACGCGTACGCCCAGATCCAAAATAGAAACACAATAATTCTGGGACAAAACGGTCAAAACAATATTACACATTCTAGTTCCAATTTACCGCGATGGGTATCCGTTTCTGGTGCTTCCAGTGCTTCCAGTCCGTACTGTTACAGTATCAAATCCAAATATGGCTGTAGCCATATTAAAAATCAAATTTAAAAAACATATGTACAGTTCAGAAGGAAACATAGAAACTTCAATATAAGTACAAGATATAGAAATAATAACAATATACAATGATAAAATCTCAAAATGGAATCAAATAGAGTACCAAAATGTCAACAGAAAGAGTCAGTCATATAATAACACAAATATATATATATGGAGGGATTTTCCAAAAAACAAAACATTCAAAATAGATTCTACACTGGCCCGCAAAATCCCTCCATGCAAAACACAAGCCCTTTCGGACGCTTCAATTTAGGGTTCACTCTCAGTTGTTGTTCTTCATGTTCCGTTTCAGAGACACAAGACACATCAGTAGCATCGTTATCATGCAACACTGTAGACTGGCTGTTACCATTAGACGCTTCCTTCTCATCATCACTCGACTGACAGTCAACCGGAGTAGGAACACTTACAGTTACTCAACCTTGTGCATCCTCAATCAACTTAACATTCGCGACAAGGTCCGATGACGTCAAAACACTAGAAGGCTCATTCGATGAAGTTGATCGGCTAGTCACTATAGACGGATTGCTCACACTTTCTGTCTCTTTACTATCGCTGTCACTACTAAGATTCTGATGACTACTATTTCCATTGCTAGTCATAGCATCCGAAAGAGAACGAAGTTTACGCTTCTTAATAACAGTAGCATCATGTCGTTTCTTATGCTTCTTAGCTTGGGTAGCAGTATGTGAGCGTAACGTACGATCATTTCGACGACGATGAGTGTCTTTCAACTTCCCTCGATCACTTTTACCCGCAGGAGTATTATCAATGCTATTATCATTAGTAGCCGCAGCTGTAAAAGCAGCAGTACACTTCTCATGATACCCAGTTGACTCATACACAGTGTCCAACTTTACTCGATCAACTTTGCTCTCCTTGCTAGGAATATTCTTAACCTCATCTATCTTATCATTGTCGGTAGTGCTCATCCCAAAGCTTGTAGTACAAGTCAAAGATGGTGGAGTGCGACAGGTGGACAGTTTCGTGCTCTATTCCTCATGCTGCATATTCAACACAACAGTATGTCCATTTAGCCTAGATGACTCCTCATTACACCTAGGGTACCGAATGTTAGCCCTATCAGTAGTGCCATCACTGTGGCTAACGCTATTGCCACCGACGCCTACATTCTCCACGCTCAAACATCCAATTTCGTCTTGGTCTGAAGTACTCAAAGAAGCTACATCAGTAACAGCAACCGAAGAAACAGCACTACCTATAGTGATTCCACTCTCGTTAGCATCGCGTTTATTATTCACATCAACCACACTATTAATAGACACATGGGGTTTCACCTCCACCCTGACGTTCTTGTTGTCCACAATGATGTTCCGAAAGATTTTCCAAAAAACAAATCTTTCAAAATGGATTCTACAACTTATGAATGCAATAAATTAGATCCTATATGATAGAAGTCCTTAAGAAGGTCAAAACTATATGATAAGGTTAAAATGACTCATTTGAATTGATGGAAGCGTATTTAACACCACTACAAGTTAATAAAAAATGGCATTGTGAGATTTATTTACTGATGAGTTGTATGTATCAGGGTAACATTTACGTATTGTTACCCAAACATTTTCTACGTTAGTCGTGCTTAAAGTTTAGTTGACCGTATGGTTGATAATAAAAAACTTGTCTGGTTGCACGGAACTTGAGTTCGCAGATTCCTGCTGACTAACCACAACCCCACATGAAATAGTGAGGACGATGTTGAGTTACCCTAGATTAGTGTCCACATTGTAACTTGACTGACTGTGTTCAATCCGCACCATTAATGATATAACGTTGGTCACTACCCAGTGATCGATCAACTGTATTGACTATCTTAGTAAAACGAGGACTGCAATGTAAACTAGGCATACTGTATTTCAGCCGATATCTTTACTAATTGCTGAATGAATTCTGGAAAGGATGGACGATAATGCATCACTCGATTAGTCGATCTGGGATTGGAACCTTCTTTTAATTGGAGCTAAAATCTTTAAACCGAACTATTAGCTACCGGATGCTGCCATGTTTTTAAGCTAGCTGTCGTTTGGCGAGTAAGCTTAACAGGACTGATTGTGTACCACGATCCGTAATTATGACTGACGCTCAGTATTGCCCGAGATGTTACTACCAAAAAACTCAGACGACCTACTTTGCCCACCTAGTCAACGTTATGTTCCGAAGAAACAGCACAATTTTCATGGTCTATCATAGTGTAAATTTGTGGCCCTGTAACAGAAAACATATGTGTTTGGTAGCCGTGATTAATATGTAAGTTTAACAGCACCAGTTTGTTCATGCTGATGACAAATGGACATGTATCAAGGTTTGTTGAAAAACATCGTAGGTGATTGTTGAATAGGATATATAAATATGATATAATGGTTAGAAATTATGGTCCCTTTTTCCAGTGACGTGTTGTCTGTTCAGAGATTGAAATAGTTCTCCCTATATTCGATGTTTCCATAGTTCATCGTTTTCCGTCAAATGACAGTTGTACAAAATTAAATGCATGTGAAAGAAACCGTTTATTGAGGTCAAGGCACTTAAAGTCCTCAGAATCTATGAATAAATTTAATCCCTTTGCTGCATAGTATTCTTCAAATGTAATGTTATCGAAGAAAGATTTGCGACAGGACTAATGAAAAAATTGCATGGTGACTTATTATGGAATTAATGAAAACAAAAATTCCACTGCGTAAAACGAAAGTATTGGCAGCGATTACTAGAGACTAGCAATAAGTAGTTCTATAAGTCTTCGATGTTTTTGCTGACCTCATCAGATTACTGGACACACCAATGGAAAATTTCTTCCCCGCATCCGCACCTATTCACCATTGTGTACATCAGGCTACACAACCATCGCATCAGTTAACCAGCTAAGATCACTCACTTATCGACATCCCAACCATCCTTCAAGTATATCTTCGGTTTCCTTCACTTCTCACTTCTGGTTTGATTGGGAACCGTTATTCTACATTAGTGGGTGTTGTGGACTTTAGTTGCCTGCGATCTCACTCCAGTTTGGACGAAGAGTTGTATATACCACTAAGTAAATCTCCCTCTCTGTTTGTGCGATGGCGGTACTACGAAGCCAGACACGGTTTCAGTTGGATGAGTTTATTTTGTGCAGTCGTTCACATTTACAGGTATTGGAATACGAAGCCTAAAAGTGAAGTGAAGTAGCGAAGGCAAGTGAAACAACTCAATGCAATGAGACATGACCTAGTATTTAGAGTCAGACAAAAAAAGGTCAGATATGTGATGGGCGAAGTATGCAACGTACACACGTACTCATGTAAAAGCAACCAAGGATATTAGCAAACATTTACACGGTCGAAAATTGCATGATTAACTCGAGAATGGTGGGTTGAGTTATCTCTTTGAAGGATGGAACTAGCCATATGGGCTTGACCTATTAGTACACAGTACAGGACATTGGTTGACTCCTGAAAACATTCTATCAATGCATTGAATAGTGTATCCTTTTGTTCTTGTCTGAGGATAAATCATTCAGGTCTTCCTTAAGGTAAAGTCCTGCACCCTAGAATTAACTCGTTGTCTGATAAAAATAGTTCCTCTTCTATCGCACACTCGGTTATTACAGGATGTCATGTAACGAATATACTTGGAAAACCAGTCTGATTTGAACCACGTACATTGATTTTACCAGATTTAGTTGAATTTCTTCAATTACTTGGCAGACTGAAAAGATTTGTCATTCGAGCGAATTTTCATATCAATTACTATGATTAAAATCAAAATTGAAAGTAGAAATCATTTTGTGAAATAGTTTACGTCAGCCTTCGCAGCATATTCATGTACTCAAACTTTTCTCGTTAACTGGGTGGGTAAATCATTTTGGTTTTGTAATTTGGAATCAGTCATCTTTTCTGTTCTGAGTTTGCTACTGATGTTTAACGATCCCCTTTTCACAGTCTTGTCATCTTCCCTATCCTTTAAAGACTAGCTGCCAATTGTACCATCAGTGTATAGAAAGCTACAATATAATTTTTCTATTGTGTTAGAAAATGTTGCATGCGTCGATGGATATTCCAGATCAGGATTCCTTAATATGACGCAATTTGGTCACTATTTGGGGAATTATAATCCAGTTGCTCCCAGTGCCCTATGCTATGAACCAAGCCGTATCCCATTGAACTTCTGGATTGAGTTAAAGCCAGCTCAGGTGTCCTTTATTCAAATGCGGGTTAAACTCTTTTTCGATTAAAGAAGTAGACATGCCTATATGCCAAGAGGGTAGTACGTTGAAACTATCTAATTACCAGTCAACACCCCTGCTCTCTTCGGTGGTGTAAATCATGGAAGAAGCCATAAACGAACTGTTCCGTAACTATCTTCTCAACATCACTGCTTTCCTATTCACAACGACGTTTTATCTCAGGGAGGCTGTGTAATAGAAAGCTACCCACTCCATCCCTAAACTGCGACACGAATATCTTGTTAATATAGACTCCCAAGTTTTGCCAGGTCATTCGCTAGCGATGAATAATGAATCATCCAAATGAAACTGAAATCAGTGATTTTAAGTAAACATGTGATGAATTCACGGTAAGTTATAAATGGCAGAGATCGAAACCTGTCAGAGTTCGTTTTGCTTTTATATTAGTGTTTTCATTGTGAGGTGGAGTGACAAAAAGCTCAGTCAATGAACAAGTAGTTTTCTTGTTGATTTTTACTATCTATTTTGAGCCCCAGACTGCCATACTTTTCCATACTCTGATGGTCCTAGGATTTCGCCGAACATACTAAATCCCCTGATATATTTTTCCTTTAGGAAGACATGAAAAGGATAGGCAATCGAATCATTAGAAAGATTTTCCTTCTTGAATGCGGAATACTAATGATGGGAAGTAGTCAAAATCTGTCAACCCTTACCTTTCTGACTGATGCCAGCATCTAATATTTTATCACAGAAAAGTACTTTAGTTGGTTATTCCCAGTTGTGTTGTGCTGCCAACATTAATGCTCACTTTGTTTTTCTAATCAGAACATTCGTGAAGGCTGTTTCCAGTATTCACTCCCAACCTCATCTAGTTAAGGCTATGTTATTCTGGTAATTCACCGGCCGTGGGGGTCACATCAACAGTTGCTATCATTCCTGGCGGACACGCATTTAGAATCATATACTTTAATTTTCGAAATGCTTTTTTGAGAAACCCAACTTTCTTGGGCTAGTTAACCCTACATAAGAGTATGGAAAGAAATATATGATGTTTAACCAGCATAGCTGTTAACGTACCTGTAAAAATAATTCTGGATGAGTTGCGAAGTCTTGTAGTCTGTTAACTGCCGAACAACACGGTTTTTGGAGTTCTTAAACTTACAATTAGGGAGAAAGAATTAGACCAGATCCCAAGAGACCGGTATATTAGTCAGTGTGATATTTAACGGTTTTAGCGAGGCATCTGATGATATGTCTCATTTGAGGCGCATGCTGTCGTTCTGATTTGGAATATTAGGTGTGAAACAAGAGTGAATTATTAGAGTTCTCTGTGACTGGAGAGAGAGAGTGAGAGAGAGTGAATGAGTCTCTATCCGCATATAAGTACGTTAAATGTTATTCAAGATTTCATGAATGTTCTGTGCTTAGCGAAGTTTTTGTCTGCTATAACTGCAGAAATGTGTACTCTAAATTCGACCAAACCAGAATTCGTAAATTAGGGGGATCTAAGCTGTATTTGGATGGTGGTTAGGATATTATGGAGTGAGTTGAAAGAGCTGGTGATTGAATGCGAAGAGGTGTGTTAAACTCCATACCTTGCAGTGATCTTGTGTGAATGAGTGTCTGAGCATTTTCGGCTGTATGTGTTCAGTAAAACTAATGGACTTATTAGTTCAGGGATTTATTTACCACTTCAAGCCGCACAGGTGGACAGTTTTATGTAGAAGCTAGCTCATCACTTGAAAACGAGCTTCAGAAAAAGACGCAGTTCTACCTACCTACTATCATTATCACTGAAACCTGACAACCAAGAATGCTGTCTTACACACAGATGTGGTTTCCAGTGCACAAATACTTTTTTTGGTGCTGAATAATAAAAGAAGAACTTTGAATTTTGTTAAAGTTTAGGTATGCAACGAAATTACGTGAATCGAACAAACTAGTACACTGATTGACGAAGTTTGGTATTTGAATGTTGTTTGGCCTCACTCAAGGTTGAGCGCATCATTGGCTTTACACGTCAGCTATGAACTTAACGTCTGTTGTGATATTTTGTTTGTGTATTGGGATTTCACAAAGCATTTTCTTTCATATGAAAGAAACCGAAGAGCGGTGCTTTTTGGAGGACGTTCCGGAGGACACTCTTGTAGCAGGTATACAGACTTTCATGTTACAACGTTCGTTCACAGGAAGCTATAAGTTATTGGCTTCAAAAGGAAATCATTTTGAACGCTCCAAAGATTTGCATGTTAAAGTTAAGGTTACTGATCCATTTGATCAAACTTTGCTCGACCGTGTAAGTTTCTGGTCTAATTGAATCACATTAAGTTGTTCTCATGTGTTAATATTCAATACACCAGATATTCTATTTGTCGTACGGGCAAACATTTAATTCGTATTCTTGTGCTAACTTTTACAACCGAAAAATCATTGTGGATCTGCCGCAATTATTAAGTGTACAGTGAATAATAATTATCATAATATTCAATGGCAGTCACTTATGCACTCTCCAAAACTGCAATCAAAGCCAAGTTCAGATTTGCATTAGCTTGAAGGGTGCTCGCCAATGGTGGTATTTATAAACTAGGGACAAGCAACTTGAATTTAAAACTAAAGCCTAGATTTATGTGTAGAATTCGTAATGTGTTGGGGTTTTTTCGGTTCGTGGTGTTTTTATTCACTTGGACTCGGACTTCATCCATTGGTTGTCATACAAATAGGGGAAACACAACCATATTCACTAAACAGCTTAAGCAAACTGGTGGTTCGAATACGTGTCTCCGAGGGGAATCTGTCTTCGGAAACTGAAAACGAACTACAACTTCGAAAAACCAATAAACATCGCAATGCCTTAAATTATATTTAATTTTAACCACTTTATTGCCTTTATAGCTTATCAATAATTTACCAGGATAATATTTCATTGTACTTAGTTTTCGGTCATCGTTGAAATATAGCTTTGGCTCTTTGACTCTAGTTATCTTAATGTGCACTTCAAATGAGCCCATAATATCCGCACGGCCATCTTAGTATGCATTCGCCGTGGGTTCATTAAACTTTCTGAATTTAGCCATCTCACCATATATTGATCTGCTTGGAAATCTTCTAGTCGAATTAAAAATGTGCATGATATTGTTCCGTTTATTAATGTCGTGATAAGCTATTGTGTAAATGACAAGGAAACGTACTAAAATATCCCATGAAACCGCGGTCTGATATCAGGCTGCTTATACAGGGTGTGGATTAGAGATAGGAAATCACTAGGTAGTTCAACTGATCTTTACTCTAGCTACTCACTGAATATGCATGTCGAGCAGAGTATTAATTAGTATAGTTTTACTTTGATGGCTAGGGAGTTTTTGTTACTCAACCTAGCAGTGATTGTAAATCACCATTGTGCTTTTCCTCAAGGTGTACTCTTCGGAAGGACGCTTTGTTTTCACTGCTCATAGACCTGGCGAATACAAAATATGCGTTTCATCTGATTCTGGTGCTTGGTTTGGTGGATCACAATTGGTAAGGTATCTGCTACGTTCATAATTCTTTAGAGAGTGCATCTAGATATTGCAGTTGGTGACCACGCTTTGAATTATCAAGAAATAGCTACGAAGGATAGACTAAACGATATCCAACTCCGAATTCGTCAGCTACTCGATCAAGTTCAAAGCATAGCCAAAGACCAAAATTATCAGCGCGTAAGTCATATGTACAATGTATTTGTAATACTTCCGATCAGACATCTTATATTTGCCACGGATTTATTTTTATTTTTGCATAAGACCACTTGTATGTCCTAGGAATCTAGGTCATAGGATTGCCCAAAATTTTAAAATGTTTCTACTGACATATACATTCAAGATAATCGTGGTTTGTGAGGGTGCAAGTAATAAGGATTTTTCGCTATCGTAAAGAGTTCCAACTATTTCTCTTCCCATCGTGGATTATAATTAAGATATAATTTTAATATTCAGGATTTATCCTTAAGCCCGAAAAGTTGCCTGCGTAGTTGTCTAGCAGTGTATCGAAAGTCATTAGGGTTATTCATAACTTTTTGACAATGCAACATAATTCCGCAAACTGTTTTTAGTAAAGTATTTGATAACATTACTCAAAAATTTGATAGAACTGGTTATCTACCTTCACAAAATACATTAACATGCGACAGTATATTTCGATTAGTAAAGTTTAGGAATTCTGATTGTCATTTTACGTTTTTCGTAAAATGTTGATCGTAGACATGTTTTTCTGCCCATGGAGTGAAAGCGAAAAAATATCTTGCTTTTCTATGTAATGTACTCTTTTCTGCTGATTGTCAGTGTAACTTTTAAAACTTTTGTAGATAAGAGAAGAAAATTTCCGGTCACTAAGCGAAAGCACAAACCGACGTGTTACTTGGTGGAGTGTTGCTCAGTTGGTTTTGCTTATCTGTATTGGGTTCTGGCAGATGCGTCACTTGCGTGCTTTCTTCCAAGCCAAAAAACTGGTTTGATTCGGTTACCACGTGTAAATTCATATCCACCCACATCCATTGTGATAGACTTCTGTAAATGTAACATCTACAAAACGCGTGTGTGGAAATATTTTTTAGTCTTATTCCCTATCATCTGTGTATCTTTCATTATTGTCAGTTCATTTACTCAACTGGCAACTAATGTGAATCGTATGTATCAAGTATATCCTGTAAAGCGGATTCTTTTAATACGCACCCAAGATATTTCTAAACTTCCTTTTATTTGTCTTATGTTTCCAAAGGTTTTGTATCTCTGTAATAACTGTAATTTAGATATGTAAGGGATAGTATGTTTCGTTTCTACCTACGTTTAGTAAGCTTTCACTTGAATGGTGCTTCTTTTTTATCATTGCGCTGAATTCTAAAAAATTATTTAAGCCGCCATTTATTCTTCATAATTGACTCGGTAAGCCTATGTATCATGGGTGTTGTCAGCGTAGCTTGTAAGAATCAATCATTTGTTTATTGTGATTGTAGTCTAAGTAAAAAGCTATCTATTTATATTGTTTGAAGAATAGTTTTTCAATATTGCTACTTTCCAATTTGCTTCTACAAAGCTGTTGTTCCAATTTGAGGATATTGAAGATTTTATGGTGTTGATTAAATGTCCAAACTCTCTCAAAACAGGCTTTGTGAATAAACTAGGGGGATTTTAAAACATTCAAGCTGAAGTTAAATCATACCCCTGTAACTGAAGGCTTGCCATGACCAATACCGTAAAGTGACAACAATCAACTAAAATATTAACAATAAGCGCAACGTATTGACTAGTTGATGCCACACTGCTCGTGTATGGGCTGTCAATGCAACCCGGTCACCCAAACTGACTTTCTATCTTTTTATATCGCTTAAAGTTAGGTGTGTATTCCGTTCAGCTCTAACTAAAGGGTAAGGGTGAGTTATTTTCTGAGTTAATGCACTTGAACGTTCGGAATCATTGCAGCTGATAGCTTTTAGAGGAAAGTGTCTGTAATTTCGGGTTTCAATTACCTCATCGGCTTCATGTCGTGTATTTATAGTTTACTAGTTAACATTAACGAAATGTTTTAAACTGCCTTTTTAACACTGTTTTAAGATCCTACTTTAAACCCTGAAGTGTTAACCGACGATCTCAATAATTCTAGCTTGGGCCTTATACCTGCTTAAAATCTACCCGACTAGGCGATTTTAATACAATTATTTGGTGTTTTTCCAAATGTCTGTGTTGGTAGCACCAATTTTTTCGGTTACGTCGTTGAAATGGCTTACCGTAATAATACCATCGATAGTGCTGTAGAATCTGTCATCATCGCTGTATTTTTCTAAGAGCGGAACTAACATGCTTAAAACTTCCCATAAAAGGCCGTGTGTGACCGACCATAAGCAGTTGTCATTTTTGCTCTGCGGTCTCTAAGACTAACACTTATCTAGCGTCCTTTTCAGGTCCCTCAAAATGCACCCCCAAAGGTGGCAGACGGGAAGAGTCATTCGCCCCCATACCCGTGGCAGCACACGAGACCAAATAGGTCAAAATCAGATTTTTCCTACGCCTCGTGACACTGATGCGAGTTCACGAATTGTTATTCCTTGTCTCCCAAAAACCTGCTGCAAACCCCATGTTGAAGCTGTTAGTGCCCGAACCTTTTGTTAAGTAGGGCTTCCTTATCTAGAACCCTAGAATCTCGTTGCACACAGCGTCTCCGAAACTCGCACTCAGGATTCGAGTAGAATAATTTGATTTAACTTTGTTCAGATAAAGAACCAACTCGGTTTACGCTCCGTGCAAGTCCGAAGCTGATCCCTGTGGCGTTGCCGGTATGGGTATTGCATTGAGTCCTAGGGCAGAACTAGCTCTCTTAGGCTGTAGACGGTCACTGGTGTGTTCGTAAAAATAGGGACACTACCTCTTCGTCGTATTTGCCTGCGCTACCACCGATTCCTGGTCGGACTAGGTAAAGGATTAGTTTTACAGAAACCTTTCCAACTTTAAAAAGCTGGGCGATCTGATATAGTAATAGTGTCTAGTGACTTCAGTGCTCATGTAGGTAGACTAAGCGATACCAAGAGACACATGGATGGATCTTATGATGTCGCGACTGGTCGAACAGATGGTCGCAATCATCTGCTGCTGTGCTCAGATAACCGCCTATTTATGGCAAATGCCGACTTAAGGCATAAGGATATATAGGACAGTTGCTCGTCCTGGAGCTGTTATTTAGGTTCAGAGCATTCTCTAGTACGAGCATGTATATGTCTGCGTCTTACTGGACGTAAGAAAGAGACATCATATAAACCTGTTATCGTTTTACTTAATGATAGCTAATCTAAGAATATACTTCTGAAGCAACTAGGAAAAGTTAGGTAGCCACTTATCTGATGCCCACTCTGAGGCAGCTTGGAACGATATCCATAAAGCTGTGGAGACAGTAGTGGTGTCTCCCAGTAAGGCAAATCATAAGGTTAGGAAGAAACAATCGATTTCACTGTCATCGGCTATACTGATAGGTGCACGGAAATTCCTTCCGTGTGGCTCTGAGAGTGATTAGGAGCGGAGTCAGCCTAGGAGCAGACTAATGAGAAGTCTAAGCAATGATCACGAGCACTGCTGGATAGCAAAAGCAAGAGATGAAAAAGGCAGCGGCAGAAGACAACTATTCAGAATTATCAAGGGAACTGGAATTAGGGATCTGATTATAAGTGAGGCTATTTCGGAAAATGATGGGAATGTTAATCTTTCTCAATCTAGGAGACTGGTCTGATGGGTAGATTAGTTCAACTGGCCTTCAGCCACACGTCGGTTGCTCACAGTCTCCAGTCATCCTGAATACAAACTTTACGTAAGTTTTCTGACTCTACATTTGAATAAGCAATCTAAAGCGAGACAGTAGTGGGCCTTGATTGATTGATCCTTTGAAATTTTTAAGGATGTTGGTCCAGTTTTAACGGCGAAATTGACTGATGTCTTAAGGAGAATCTTGGAACTAGACGTAGTACTTTATGACTGGTCTCAATTACATTGTCTCAGTCTATAGGAAAGGGCAAACGTCCTCCTGTGACAATCACAGAGGAATCAGTTTAACTAATATAGTGTCTAAGACATTGGCCTCAATAATACTACGACGCCGAACTATAACTCGCGAAAATCAGGTTGGATTCAGACCTGGACGTACATGTGTAGGCCGCATATTCACACTTCGTCAAGTCCTAGAAAAGAGACACATGTTCAGACATCCGACAATAGTTGTATTCCTGGACCGTATGGCGGTATTTGATTCCCTTGATCTTGAGGTTCTTCCCTATCAATGGAATGGATTACCGCGAGTGGTGTTCGTCAGGGCTGTCCACTTTTTACATTCCTATTCAACTTAGTAATTGACATGCTTTTAGAGATGACACGATCATCGTCTGATATCTCAGCTGTTGGCCTTCCACGAGGATACTCACTTGTTGAGTCATAATATACCAGTGTTATAGTTCTATTTGATGAAGACGCTGACGAAATGCAGAGACTTATGAACATCTTAAACAACAATGCAAACATGTCCGGGATGCGATTCTCCCCCTCGAAATGCGAAATGTTGCTTCAGGATTGGCTTGCGTCGGCACCTGAACTAGTGATAGGGAGTGAAGTATCCAAGCATGTTGACCGCTTCACTTATCTGGGGAGTCTCATCAGTGCTGGTGACTGACGGAATCTCAGCACGGATACAGAAGGCTCGATTGGATTTTGAGAAGTTGCAGCACTTATGGCCTAGGCGAAATGCCCGTTCGCTGACTAAAGGACGAGTGCACTGCGCAGTAGTTCGCTCCGTCATAATTTATGGCTACGAAACATGGCCAGTCAGAGTGGAAGATATAACAAAGGTTTGACAAATTCAACTAACGTATGTAAGTACGAAGTTCTACGTAATATCTGACTGACTTTCTGAGTTCTAATTAAGGTGCTAGTAACCTATGCAGATTTGTCCTATGAACGTGAATTATGACGGCAGATGATTGTTGATTTTTCTGATTAGTTGATGAATCGGATCGATGTCGATGTGTTTATGGATTGCCGACTGAGTACGAAGCTTTTAAGAATTTTGTTTTTTGTATTCCGGCATTTTTCCAATCGAATGTATGTCTACATTTATTGATGTAAGGAAAGGTATGTTATGACGTTTGACCGCCGACCGATATTCACGTACGCGAACGTATATGGGACGTCCACTTTGTCCAATGCAGTGTTTTCCGCAATTTGAACAATTTATTTTTCAGATGATGTTCGGTTTTTGTTTTGTCGTTTCGCCCTTTGGTTTACATAGGGTTGGTTGATGTCATTCTGCTGGTTTATGTCCTATTCCTATTCCTAACGGCTTCAGTAATCTCGTTGCGGTTTCCGATAAAGGGAATAGGAAGAGCGCTAGTCAATTTTTAGAAGTCTGGCACATATTTATCAACAAACTCATCGAAATTGATCTAATTTATTAACCAATCCAAAATAAATCGTAGACTAACATAGGATCAAGAATCAGATCAAGGGAGGAATAGAATCAAAATAAAAAGGCAGGCAGAGATAGTTTTATGGTTGGTAACGACCAATCAAGATCGAGGCCAATCGGACAAACTACAAGTCAGATATGAAGAAATGTTAACACCTCACTTTCACCACAAGTTTTTGCCGGTGATGCTGTTCAGAAGAATAATGAGAGCTCCACCACCAAACCATCCAGCTTAGACAACAAAACACCACCTCGAAACATTATCTGGTGTGAGGAAACAATTACGTATAGGTTGAATATCGAGCAACCATAGTTTTGACAAAATAAATCATTTTCATTCACAAACATTATTTATGAATATAAGTCAACGAACACATCGAATAATTCCTAAATTCGTGAAATGATATTCAGTCAAAAGGGAGTTAACGTTAGATCTACATATGTGTCGGCAAAACCGTTCTACATGACATATTTCCTGAAAGTAGTAAACTCCCTACAAATCTGGGAGTTAAAATAATTCAGTCGTCAATCAAGCTCATATTATTTCATATTAAAGTAAAAATTCGACTTTGTTCAGGTACATACATTCGAATCACAGGGAATCCACCACAATAGTCACCGAGAAAATGTTGTCAGTGATCTGTAAATAGAAACCAATAAACATAATAACGATTAACACGCTGAAATTGACTACTGATCCCGTAAAAGAAGAGTGACGGTGACAATCGCAGGAATTCTGTCTTATGGTGCATTTTATTCGTGCAAAACATTCGTTACATATTTAAACAAACAGAGTATATTGCAGAGGACGCAACTGATCCATCGTCATGTACAAAGCCTTATCGAACAGTCAACGGTGGACGAATGTTTGCACGAACAGCAACATTCAAGTAATTTAAGATAATATTGATTGTTAATTTATATATACTATTTAGGTTCCTCGGGAATTTAGTTCTACTGAATTTGATAACATATTCCTGAGACTTTTATCAGCAGCCTCTTAGGCTACATAACACTCTTATAGCGATTTTTGTGTTCTGTTACAAATATTTTCAAACTCAATTAATATTCAATAAACCATTTAATTTATTTTCAATTAACAACAAAACCAAAAAGATTACATCACTCTCGGATCAAAAAGTGATATTCTT